TTCATCCTTAAGAAACAAAGAAGGGGAGAGAAGAGCAAAAATAGAAATGAAAACATGTTATATTGCTATGTTAATTGGAAATTGATAACAAAAATCTGAAAAAGGAAATAAATTGAAAACATACGTACTTTTTGGTTGGGAGGATAGTTTGTCTGTTGTACTAAATTTTGATAAAATGATAAACGTAAAGATTGTTTTAAGTGAAAAAGATGTGCTTATGCGATCATAGAAGGTATGAGTTACACATGTACGCATGTTTCTTAATCTTAAAATTTATTCAAAGAATAATGAGACAGAAAATAAATAATTTTTTATAGTAACATTAATGTAAAAAAGTGTGAAGGGCGAATACTTATATAAGTAGGTCGTAATTTAATGTACTAAATATAATTTTGTTAAGGATATTGAAAAAGGAAAAAAAATGTTAGTAGTATTAGAAAATTGTTTGACAGTAAAGAAGTCGTACATATAACATATTGTCATGAAAGACATATGAATATAAGTGAATATCAACATATTAAATATGGTCATGTCTTCATTTACTTATATCGTCATCATGTGATATAACATTTTAATACCTTTGTTACTATATATAGTAACACCTTTGTAACTATATATTGTAACAAAATCTAGAGTATCTCAGGACCATTATGGCAAGATCTAGGTCATTATGCAATTTTGGCCGCCTTGAAATTCGGCGTTATTTTTCCATAATGGGCGAGTGAATGGCCGCACTTGCAGAATGACGTAATCCACTCTCAGTGACTTTCAAAATGGCTGCTCACGTCGAATGAACTGTAGTCACTTGCACACAAAATATTTTAAAGATTAAATGGCATTATAAATCACAATCAGCAAAGCTTAACATTAAAGATTTATAAACGCAAGACAATACATGTCCCTCAGAAATTCTAAAAATGATTTCAGATTGACGGCAGGAAAAAGATCGGATCGGTGGCATTCAGACCTAGACATCAGTCTCAGAAAGGCACAAAACCTCTTCAATAAATGGCACTTGCTAAAAATTTTGTGAAAGTTTTGGGTTCAAAAAACAACTCGTTTTTAAATTTTTTTGTGTTCATTTTTCCAAGTTTCGGGGTGACCATTTTTACTTGAAAATTGTTCTTTTTAAAAAGGGCGAAAAACCCCAAAGTTAGGGGGTTCTCCCGTTATTAAAGACTTTAAATTTTGTTAATGCTCGAAATGCAAAATAGCCCGAATTTGGCATAAGGCCTGATATTTAATTTTTAAAATGTGTTTTTTTGTAAAAAAATTTATTCAGGGCCTTTATGCAAAATTGTCATTTCAATTTCGGGTTGCTCCGGAATTTTTTTTCCTAATGGAGACTTTGGTTTTGTTTTTAAAAGGGGCTGCCCTGATTTTAAATGTCTTTAAACAAAAAATTTAAAGTTTAAAATAAAACTTCATTTACAAACTTAAACATAGAAGATTTATAATCTCAAGAAAAGAATAAAAAAAACTCTACCCAAGACAAAACGAGACCCTCAGAACTTCAAAAAATGATTTCATTTTGATAGTATAAAAAAGATCGGATCGATGGCATATAGAGCTAGACATCAGTCTCGGAAACCGTTCTTGAAGGCACAAATGTTCAAAAAAATCTGGCACTAAATATTATTCTCACAACAAATATGTGGAGTATTTATGGATATCAACATTGCATCATATTATTTTGTTATGTATTCAAAGGTAATCGGAGGGTTAAACTGAATGATATATGTTTGTTTACATTGACAACTGTCCGTTTCTTTGAAAGGGCGACAACCAAGATAATAAGTATTAACCTCTAAATACATCGGCAAATAGAAGATAATTGTACAATATCAACATCATATCATACGTACACAATAATATAAACATGCCATTAATATAACGTTCACGGTACCATCAACAATGTCTACACTTTGTACACTACCATAATCATGTTATACATATATTACAGTGACATTTACGGGTCATTCAATACCCACACATCCATCATTAGGCCATTTTTATGTTACTTAATTATATTTGCAAGGCATTCATATAATACATCAGCATGTTATAAATGCAAAATTAAAACCATTACCATTTACTATTGTTGAGGTTTTATTAACCTTCAATTACATACTGATTACCGGTTGATGCACACAGTTATATAATCTTCGGTAGATTTTCGGTAAGTTCCGCTGTAGATGTACGCATGTACGATGTAATTTAATTAAAATTTGTATCTCTAAACAAAGTGTACTCAGCGTTATAGCGCAATAGGGTAAATCACGAGTTTATAATCTAAGTGTCACGCGTGTTTAAAGTTCGACACCGCGTTGGTCCATGTTTTTTTTCTTAATGAAGTTATGATTATTTTATGTTGTTCGTTTTGTTTTATTATGTTTTACTTAATTTTGTTATGTCTATACTCATTTTAAATAACATGCTTTAAGAATTCATGTTTAAAATTAAAATGGATTAAAATAAATAACTGTCTTTTTCAATGCCGTAAAAACACTCTACAAATCTGTTCCATTAAAATATACTGCAATAATAAAGTGTACTAAAAAAAAGATGGCAACAGTACGGATCGAACCACAGTCCTCTCAATTATCAGGTATTCTCTTAACCGACTGTGCTACTGTGAATTAACGAAAACCTTCGCATTAAGCTGGCGTGAGTTTCAATCCATGACTAATATACTCCACATTAATTCTCGTAAACTACAGGGACCTAACCGAAGAGGGATCGAATATTTAAATGAGTCATATAATGTATTCATAATTGACAGGTCAATAAAAGCAGACTATACATGCTACGCAATACCATAATGGTATACATGTTATACAAAGCCATTAATTTTATGTGTTAAAAAAATTACCATATAAGTGCCTTACATACCACATAATTCGAATTTGTAATACTACATGTACTATCAACATACAACTCGAGTTACTCAATACCTCTGATTTAAATATCATATATGAAATGCCAATAACAAGTCACATGATTCCATTTAACAAGATGCGCAAGTCATAGGCATGTCATATAACGATATATTGTATCATTATCATGAAATAGTTAAAAAGATTTGCTTAAACGATCAGAAAAAGGTATCAGTTACACATTCACGCAAGCCATGTTTTTTATTCTTAATTCTTAAATTACTTCCAAAAAGAGATAGAAAATAAATAATTTAGTTTATAATAACATTAATACAAAAAGGTTCACGTGCAAATGATTGATTCCATAAGAAGGTCGTGATCTAATATACAAAATATCATTTTTATAAGGATATTGGAAAAAGAAAAAGAGTAATAATATTAGAAAATTGTTGACCGGAAGGGATTCTTACATACTACATAGTGTCATGAACGACATATAAATATAAATGCATCAACATAAATATTAAACATGATCATGTCATCATTTACTTATATCGCCACTGTACAACATAAAAAGAGTGATAAAGACTTTATCACAATATTAAGAAATATGCGTGACATGATGAAAACGTTAAAGATCATTGAAGTGAAACATAAGCGAACAGCTTTTGAAGAAAATTGACATTCAAAATTCTATTTCTAATAACAGCTTAAATGTTATTTCTTACTTATCACCATGGTTAACAATCCAATATAAATCTATCCAACATAAAACTATCCTCCAAAAAACAGAATAAGCTATATTATTTCACATTTTTCAACGGAGCGAAAACAAAGAAGTTTTTCCGCCACGATCACGTGAAAATAATTTTCTACTCTACGGAGAACTGGCGAAAATACCTATGTCTGTAATTCGTAAGATTAATATTATTAAATACTGGGTGAAAATTTTATATCAAGATGAGTCCTGACTTGAGAAAAGGGTTTACATTATGTTAAAAACTGATTGCGAGCTAGGTAATGTTTACTAGGGTAACTGGGCGTTTCAAATAAGGAGTATTTTGCAAGAACACGAGTTTCTCGTGTGGTTGCAACAATCTGATATACACACATTAATACCATTTTTGGAGATTAAACAACGAATAATTTATAAAAATTTCTCCAAAGATGGTATTCAGATGTGGTTAATTCTAGACGTTCAGAAACATATAGTTTGTTTAAACACGCTTTCGAAAGAGAACGGTATTGGAAGTTATAACTGACCAAAGGTTTATTTTTTTGCCGAAATACAGAGAACTAAGGTGTAAATACTTGAAGAACTATAATAGGCATTGGCCTACGTTAACGAAATTTAGAAATCTTATGTCTTCTACATCAAATGCAACTTTTATGAATTTGTCGAAATTCATATATTTTGCAACAGAACTACGTGTCCCCTAATCATAATTATATTTATATGAAGTGCTATTTTTAATTAAACAGAGATAAACATCAATACACATCATTATAATGTCTCTTTTTTTCTTTAACTTCACACAGCGTCGCCTTATAGTATTGTAAATTTTTATGTTATCACATAAGATCTTACTTCGTAAAATGTTTGGAAAAACATACTATGTACTTGTCTTTACAGTATTCTTCTGTAAATTAAATAAACATGCATGTCTTTCCATTATCACTGAACTGATTATATTTTGTATGGCTATAAATTTGTTATTTGTTTTATGCCAATAAAATTATTTAGTTGAGTTGATTTAATATAAAATAAAGAAGGAATTGGCCGGGGATGTCAGATTTATTTCGCTATTAACGAAAATTCGTTATAAGCGAGTTCGTTATAAGTGGAGTCGACTGTATCATTGGTGTAATTATGTAATGACCAATCAATATAAAACACGTGTGATAACATATTCAGATAGAGATATTTTCCTTAACCATCATTTTTAGGGATTATTATAAAATACATATTGACTGAATAGCGATAAATCCAAACATTGATCAAACGAATCTTGGTATAAACAGGTCGTAGGTGTTAAATATGTTATCGCAAGAAGCCCTAATGTGGTTTAATTAAATTATATTTATACACGATTTACATTAAAAAGGAAACAAAATAAATTTTACCTTTTCAGAACTCATTGCTGCCTTTATGTCCCGCTCAGTTAATTTCCAAGATTCACCAACCTTTTTTTTAAACCAGGATAACTCGTTTGGCGTCAGCTTCTCTTCGCTCTCATCGTTACTTTTACACTTGAAGCACAAGCATTTTAAAATGTTTTTAAAAAAAGTGGACGTTGCCATTCTTTCTAACTCTAGAGCAAACTTGACCTGCAATATATTTCAAACAATGTTTGGCTAATGTGAATAATAGTCACTTAGCATTTTGTTTCCATCTGACCTAAGAACAAACTGAAACATGCTTTTTAGATGATATAGTTGTAACATGTCGTGCGTGCGAAGCGTCTTTTTTACTTTGAAACCGAAGATCTATGCTTAAGTCATTGCAGTAGGAAAAGCAACGAGTCTTATATATATATAACATCGCTGAATAGCTCGTTAAGGCCGTTGGCATTAATAAATTATATCCCGATAGAACGACATATTAACTAAATAAGCAAAGTTTAAACAATAAAACCCTTAATTTGAACATAAATATAAACGACATTTCTTAAAGTTTAGCAGTCCATCATCATCATGCAATGGATCGTTGCAAATTATACCATTCAATTTTTATCCAGTTTTATTTTTAGGTAAACGTTTTCTTTAAAAGTAATAAAACGTAAGTTTACTTTATTTTATTTTGTCTTTTTAATTCAAAGAGGAAAACTTCGATAATAGAACCAAAATGTATACATGTTGTATTTTCTAGCTTTATCGGCTTTAAGCTCAGTTTCGAATAGTGTGAACAATTATTCATGCCTCTAATCAAATAAATATGAGTCCTTTAGAGAGTTTGATGACAAAGTGGCATCTTGATAAACATGAAAACACTGAACAATCTCCAAGGGTAAAGAAATTAACGCCCCTTATTGATTGTACTTCATGTGATGACTTTTAACGGTCTCCGTAAGGCACACAAAAACGGGCAGGTGTGACAACAAAAAGGTAATATCAATAGGACAATTATTGAAATAAAGCATCATCTTTCTGAAACATAGTTGTATATGAAATACTTAATTTCGTATGTAGTTTTGTCTCAATAGCCTCAAAAAAGCGATATAGATTTGTACATGAGGGAAATCATGACCCGGTCGATGTCAATATTTTTTATTTCTTTTGGGTAATTGCATCATTTATCAATTATTATGCCTATTTCCTAATTTGATGGTATTTGTGTTTACACTCAGCAGTGACCCGCACTTATTTGCCAGAGCACATTCCAGCCGCCACCGCACAGTACCTTAGCAAGCTGTCAAACAGTTTAACATCACTAGATGGCTTCTCTTTCGTAAAAAAAACTTGATATTCCTTATTCAACAGGCCGGAATTATTTGAGCAGTTTCTTTGTAAAATGACCATCTGTTTATCATAGCTGCACAATTTTAACTAAGGGCTACCGAGTGACTGAGGAAAAGATGACGTTCAAAACTTTAAACAATTTAAGCCAGGTTTTTGCCTTGTTGATCATTTCTGTTTGTTTTGTAAAGGATGAGCTATTGATAATTTCTGTAGAGTTTCACCAAAACCTAACAAGGTACTAACAAGGAGGAAATGTCCCTTAAGTTTTATTCTGTTTTCAGCTCTTGCGGCGACAATCTTGTACAACAGACCAGAATAATTTGGGCAATGTTTGTTAAGAACCGTCCAGTGATTACCGCTGTACGGTTTAATCAAAACTTAATCAATATATTATTAATACAAAGTGCGAAATACTAACTCTAAAGAATACTCAATATCCTTCATTCCAAGAGATGAAGTGTTGGGCGCCCTTTGAAAAGAAGAAGTTTTATCCGTTACGTTGGTGGGAAGAAGAGTAAACACGATTTTCATTATAGAAACAACACAATGCAGTTGCTTCATTATGCACTGACCATATTTTTTGCAATGATAAAAAAAGAAATTATGGATATTTTAAGACTAAACAAAAGCAAAAGTGCACACAAGACGGTGATAACATGTCAACTTGGCAAGTTAGAAGAAATAGCGGGCAATAATTCTCACTTTACAACCGGTCTTGAAACTTTATGCAACAAACTGATTGCGCTGGAAGAGATCAACGATGAGATAATGTCGCAGATGGGTAAGGTAGACATGGAGACTGAGATGGTCAAAACAAAGAACTATATTCTTGAAGTTCGACTACGCATTGGAGATTTGGAGGCTCAACACCGCGCTGCTATGGAGGTCATCCATTACCCGCAGCTAACCCTTGAGAATAGAACTCTTGAGGAGCCCCTAAGTAGAGACAAACATAAAACCGCATGACCCGTACACAATAACGCCGGTGGAACGTCCGGAAACCGGAATAATATATCATCGGTAATTAATGTTAATGACATTTCAATTCATTCGGCATCCTTCCGAAGCTTACATTACCAAATGTTACTAGAGACATTTTGGAGTGGCAAACATTCTGGGACTGTTACGAGTCAAGTATACATAACAACATGTCACTATCTGAAGTGAAAAATTGCTATCTTAAAACGCTATTGACCGACGATGCTGCCAGTGTGATGGATGGGTTGAATTTGATACTACGAATACGTGAATACCCTCTTTTTCCAGAAACGGCATAATGAAAGACCAGAAAAAGGACTTTTACAGAGAAATTGAATTAATTATCAAGTGTGCGTCCCGTGCACTATATACTATATCACGGAGTTAAGAAACATTTGGTCACCAACTCTGACTGTGGTTGTCTTCGATTGTCCCTCCTGAGACCAAGTTAGGAGGTACAGATATGCCGTCTGTACAGGTATTGAGAACGCGTTTCTTCAAATACGGTTCAAGAAGAATGATCGTGACATTACACGATTTCTTTGGCTTAACAACATTCATGATCCAAATTATGACCTTACAACATACAGATTCAGGTCCGTGCTTTCTTTTAGGTGCAACATGTTCACCATTTATATTTCATGCCGCTACAACCAAATGCCATTAATCATAATTGGGTGAGTGCAATACGTAGGAAAGACTAATATGTTGATAACGTGATTTCTAGTTTTTCTTACGAGAGTTCCTTACTTGACTACTTCAAGGACAAACAGAAATTGATGACATCTGTTGGTTTTAACTTGCATCTCTGAAGCTCAAAGAACAGTTCAATGCGCAGCCTTTATATTTTCATTATGCCGTCGTACTTTTCTAGCAAAAGAGGGTATTCACGTAGTCAGATCAAGTTATCAACGCCAAATCAACCACGTTTACCAAAGATAGGTGTTCAAGATACACAACCTTTTACTATGACTTGGGTTGATTTCCCCGAATGGAAAAACAAAGAATGAGGAGGTTTTACTTGTGTTTAAACCAGAGCTGTTCATCTAGAGGTAATTTCATATATGATTGAATACTAAGTATTCATTTTTACAAGCGTTTAGGCGATTCAATAGCAGAAAATCTCTCCTAAAGGTTATGATAAGATTCAGATAACGGAAGAACTTTTCAAGCAGCAGCAAATGCAATACACAAAGTAATGCATTCTACTTCCGTAAAATACACTTTACAAATCATGGAAGAGAGTGGAGATTTATACCGAAGCGCGCTCTCTGGTTTGATGGTTGGTGAAAAAGATTAATTGGTCTCACCAAAAACAGGTTCTTGGAAATGCATACGTGACTTATGATATTCTCCAATCGTTACGAGAAAGAAAGCGTCATGAATGACCGTCCGCTGACTTACGTGACGTCAGAGTCAACCGACCCAGAACTAAATACACAGCTTATTTGTTATACGGACAGCGTTTAATAACCCTGCTTATCATTGAGGATGTATCTGAACCAAAATCAGTGTCAACAGATAAGATGACGAAACAAGCGATGATACAGGCACAGGTCATTAGCCATTTCCGGAATAGTTGGCACCACGAGTATTTGACTTCACTACGTTAGTATCACAAAACTACGGGAAACAATTTCCAAGAAACGATGAAGGTCGGCGATGTAGTACTTTTTCATGATGAGCCCCCGAAATCACAGTGGAAATTATGAACTATTAGTTAAATAGTCACTGACAAAAATGGATTGACACCAGCGGCCATAAGTTGCGCCTAGGACGACGTTACGTTAGTGGGAATAACAGACAGACAACGTAACGTTGGCGACAAGAAGAGTTTATACGACGTCATTTCCGTTGTGTTATTTTTTCCGTTAGTAAACCTTATCATTTTAGAAATACGCACGGTAGTTGCCTCATAATTCACTGACCACTTTCAGATATACGAGTATTGAATTAGCAATTAAATACCCGAAAAGAATATTACACAAGATCTATACATATTTTGTAAAAATATGCTTAAATAATTAGTATTAAAATTATTTACCTGCATTTGCTTTTTAGCAAGATCAGCCTTTTGTTGGAATTCATGTATATTATTTACTGCTAAGCCAACCTGTAGATATAATAGAATGCCTTAAAAAGTGCAAAATCTGATTTTCTGTTTAATTACAAACTATTCATGCTTTTAATATAATAAAATCTTAAGTAACTACCACATCGACGGGCAGTAAAACTTAGATAATGTATTGAAATGTATGATACTGAATATATAGTAACGATGTACATAAGTACGATATATAGATATATGCATGATTAAAAACTTACATAATCAATAAAATCCATATAGTAAAACAATTATTTTTTAATTATCATCATTTATTAGGAAAACAAGGATTACTAGAATAAAACCAAGGCAAATTTTACTTATCTCAAAAGAACAAAATGATTGGTTTATCGAAATACATCCTCAATATCTTTGATGATTGTGGTGGTGTGTGTGTGTATGGGGTGTGTTAATACAAATGTTTATTGAGTTTAGGTAGCTGAGGGTATAAGAGAAAATATAGATTAGATAAAGTAATATAAATTTACCAGTAAGTTGATGACTACAATAGCCATAAATAACATGAAGATGACAAAGAACAGATTACTAATTATTTCAAAATGAACAGTTTCGTCTAGAAACGTTGACACAAAGTCCGGGCCACCAATCATCATCGAGGTTGTTTTCATCAGTGATGTCCAAATTGTACTAAATGGTTCCTAGAAATCATATAGATAAACATGAAATAAAGGCCAATTTGACATCATGATAAGATGACGTCATGAATGTACGGTGTTAGGGCCAGTGCGTTTTTTCTGAGAATGGAAAGCGCGAATGATGACAGTACGATAAGGACAGTACGACAGTACTATGACAATACAGATAATATGACAGAACTATGGAGAAACAAGACAAGACGATGGTGACAGTCGATTTCGCTTTCGTATTGTCGCCAGCGCACTATCACCATCATAGTGTCGTTCTGTCACAATCGTACTGTCGTACTAACACCATAGTACTGTAGTTTTGTCACCATTGTACTGTCGCCTTCCTGCCGAGCATGAGCAAACATTTCAATCAATATAGCTTGCGAAACTTAGAACATATACTGGCGTTTTATATAAAAAATATTTACCATATCGAAGATCAACTTTCAAGTAATTAAGAGCTTTATGATAAAAATGTACACCTGTGTCTTCATAATTTGTATTTAAACGGATAGGCCTAATCTCGACTTTTTTTATTTTACTTAAAATATAGTAATTTCTTAAAAATAATTTTGGCTATGATTTATAAACTTAATGAATGGAAACAAAAGTAGATGATATGTAAGGTATCTAAAATCTAACTATCTAAGTTGTTATGTAATGCTATATAAACGAATTAGGTGAGCTTATTTAACATCAACATTTATAAATGCAAATCAAATACGTAGGCAATTATTCCAAATCATTGCACGTTCGAACCATTTACAGTTATTTGTTATTTTTATATTCAAGATTTACGCGTTGCTTGCTGTTTAAAATAAACAATTTTTATCTGAATAAAAAAATTCAATAAAATATTTATTTGCAATAATTGTTTAACTTCATCTTACCTGATTCTGAAACAAGCAGTGGAACGATATAGCAAAGGCAACAATCAGGAGTGAAAATACAAGGAGAAACTTCATAAACACCTTGATGATCCGGTACAACATAACTACATATATACCTAGCCATTCGAATTTCTGAATGATAAATAACATATTGATCCAAGCGAGGAAAACGGATACCGTTCCGCAAGTCCATTGCCATTGCTGAAAAAAAATACGCTTGAGTAATATGATGGTTTTATAGCATAAAAATTTTTATAATGCAACAGTAGCAAAATGTGTTTCCCTATAAAATATGACATAAATTAATAATAACCTTTATCAATATTGCCCTTAAAGACTGTAACTGTTATGAGACTTAATGCAACATAAAACAAAATTATTTCCAAATGCTGGGCGTTGTTGAAATGGTCGACTGCAGTTATTTAACAGTGTTTTAAAATTAAACACGGGTCAATATTGTAGTTCTGTTGTGTGTTTGATTAGATAGGATCGTGGTTTTCATCCCATGTTGTGTTTTGTGCCATCACCTGAACGTTAAACCCTTAAATGCATCATTCATATAATCTTGTTTGATACGACAGTGTAAATTCGAATACCTGTTTTACGAAAGACATAAAAAGTCATACCGGCCGATATCCAGAATCGCTACATCCGCTTGTATTGATAACAAATATAATTGCAGTGATGCAGGTTATCCATTCAATAACATTTTCAATTTCCAAAAAGTAAAACCACACTTTCCAGGAGAACATTTGTTTCATTTCGAGTATCTGTATAAATAAACAACTTTTAATATTATACAAACTCTTGAACAATAATTATAGTGCTCCAAACATAAGAGCGGGATCTAGGTTTGCCCTTGTCTGTCCGTCAGTTCTATATTGTGTCACATGTAGCTGTATAGAGTCAAGTTAATTTACAGGAAGTTGATTAAAATGTGAAGCTGTGCATCTGGGGTTTTGGCGTGTGGATTCTGTATCTGTAGAGTTATTAAAAATATTGCACTTTTCAACTTGTGTTGTGTGTCGAAAAAGTCTTTGACCAGGAGGCAAATAATCTTTCAGAAATGTTGATCAGCATGTGAAATTGGGAACTTGCATGTTTGCTTGTAGATTTTTTTATTATCATCTGAAGAGTTATTGTCTTTGGATTAGTCAAAATTTGCAATTGTCAACTTGTGTCGCGCTGGCCTCCCAAATCGTTTTGACCAAAAGTCTTGGAATTTCACAGAAATGTTGGTCGGCATGAATAGTTTTCCACATTGGGTTTGCTTGTGGATTGTGGATTCTTTCAGTATTTTAGGGAAATTGCTATTGACTAGGTTAATTTTAGCAGTTAAAAATATGTGTCGCGCGTAAACCGAAAATGATCTGATCTGAATTATTGAACTGTACAGACGAAATTGTGCACCTTGAAGGTTGTAAGAGGAATTATTTATTATTTATAGAGATATTTTCATTGACTTGGTAACAAAAATGCAATGTTTGGCCTTGTGACCCAAAAAATTAGTTGACCTTAATTAATGAAACTTTACAGAAGTGTTTATCAGCAAGTGCAGTTATGCACCTGAGCGTTTGCCTGTACATTTATTATTTCTTTGTAGAGTATGCCTGGATGTTAGTCAGCATGTGTAGTTATGCATCTAGGGGTTTCTTGTAGATTTATTCAGTATTTATAGAGGTTATGCCCTTGACTTAGTAAATGATTTCATTTTCTATCTTGTTTCGCGTGTAGCCCAAACAATTTTTGACGTAGAGTCAGAAAATTAACAAAACAGTGAACAGCTGGGTTCCGCGTCTTATGGACATATTTATATTTTATTGTTTGTTTTTGCTGGGTTTTTTACTGATGATGATTCTCTTTTAAAAGAAAAAAAAGGTTTTCTACATACTTCTAAATATTATGTCGTTCATTTAATCGTAAGTTTCATAAAAATAAATTATAAGTATTGTATCGTATACAGTTGAATCGGATAAGAGTAAAATCTATTTTAGCATTATAGATAAGTTTTCTTACCTCAATGAGCAATATTATCGAAGCCAATGCGATGATTCCGTACTTCGCAAAAGATGCGAATACAGAAATACTCTCGTTTGTTAAATCTGAACACTCAGAAAAACTGTAAAATAACGAATTATTTTGCAAGTGTAAATGAAAGTTAAGATATCAAATTGTTAGATATGAAACACTGACTGAAAGAAAAAATAGGTCCAGCTTATTATCTAGACAGACAGACAGACAGACATACATAACTTTTATTTACAATCAGGTTCTACAGTACATATACATGTACATGAGAACAACATGCTTTATTACTTTAGACAAATATAGAATATATATACATGTCGCAGTTTGCATGCAGATTATGGTATAAATATTAATTGTGGAAAAGGTTTTTTCAATATCTAATTATTATTATTATTATTATTATTATTATTATTATTAATAAAAGTGAAAGTTTGAGATTATATACTTATATTTCATGGTCATCAAATATTAAATTGTACAATCACGTTAGCGTTTATACAGCAATTTACGTCGTACACATTCACCAGTGTTGCACTGAAAAGGTCAGTATGTGGGTGGGTGTTTATAGTTCAATAATTGAGGGTCTCGTGCGACATGTGGATGTGTACATGTGGGTTTATATGAATATGGAATACAGTTTATAAATGAAGAAATGAACGGATTAACACATGATCTGAAAAAAACTAGAAAAATAGATAAGTTATTTTTTAACATTTTTTTTTTTTCAATTTTGAGACCGTTGCTTTATGTTTATTCAATATTTGCTCCAGGTTTTTATCTATTTATTATTGTATCTAGGCTGTATCTCGTATAAAATGAACAGGAATCATTTATTGAAAAATGACACTATACGTTTAGAGAAAAAACAGCATTTTTTAACAAAGAGAATGAAGTTGATAGCATCAGTTCTTTGAATTTGAGTGTGTTAGGTCGATTGTAATGTTTACTTGGAATAAGGCTTCTCCTTCCAAGACAAAAGAGAGGGCATTTTAATATATAGTGAAATTCATCGGCAATATCATTTTGTTTTTTTAAAGTGTATTTCCTTTGAGCATGGTCTACAAAAGACTGATGCCATCCGCCAGTTTCGACTGGTTACCCAGTGGTAACCAGTTCTAAAATGAAAACAAGAACGTGTTTGTTAAACACAAATGCCCCCGGCTCCGATTCTTGTCAGTATCAATATTTCAAAAAATGTTTACACCTTCACTCAGTTATGGACAGAGACATTGCCAAAAAATTGTAAACACAAGTTATATAGCTTGACAGAGTCATGGCATTTTGTAATTGTGAAATATATAAGTTGCCAAGTCATTGCTATGGCTTGTGAAGTTATAAATATTCAACTTTATCAAGTATATATCAATGTAAGTAATCTATACTTGGCACCCTTGACCTTGACCCACTGACACCTAAAGAATATCATGCAAGTTATCTTCCTACCAAATATGAAATACACCTGTCAATAAATAAAGGCTGTATGGGCAAAAATGTTAAAATCTATTTTGAGCATTGATGACCTTGATAAAACTGACCGCTAACTCCATCCAAAGGAAGAATACCATGCAAGTTATCTTCCAACCAAATATGAAATAAATATGTCAATAAATGAAGGTTGTATGGGCAAAAGTGTCAAAATCTATTTTTAGCACTTGTGTCCTTGACCCAACTGACCCCTTACTCCTTCAAAAGTAGAATAACATGAAAGTTATCTCCCTACCAAATATGAAATATATCTGTCAATAATTAAAGGCTGTATGGGCAAAAATGTAAAAATCTATTTTTAACACTAGTGACCTTGACACACTGATCCCTAACTCAATCAAAAGGAAGAATACCATGCAAGTTATTTTCCTATCAAATATGAAATACACCTGTCAATAAATAAAGCATGTATGGGCAAAAGTGTAAAAATCTATTTTTCGCACAAGTGGCCTTGACCCACTGATCCCTACCCAATCAAAAGGATAAATACCATGCAAGTTATCTTCCTACCAAATATGAAATATATATGTCAAGAAATAAAGGCTGTATGAGCAAAAGTGTAAAAAATCTATTTTTAGCACTGGTGACCTTGACCCAACTGACCACTAACTCCATCAAATGTTATGTTCCTATCAATTATAAATAATATCTGTCTATAGAATATGGTTAATACACCTGTACAAATTTATTTCAAACATTGGTGACCTTGACCTTGACCCAAATGACCCCTTACTATACCAAAAGAAGGAGGAATTCCCTTGGCATGTTTGTATTAAACATGAAAAACATGAACCAAAAAATAAAGGCTGTATGAGCAAAAATGTTTAAATTTATTTTCTAAACCAGTGACCTTGACTTTGACCCTAGAGACCACTTTCTCCACAAAAATTAGAGTACCATTAAAGTTATCCATCTACCAAATATGCAAGATATCACTAAATAAATTAAGAAATTAAGAGAAATTGACGATGAATTCAACTTGCCGGAATAGGTTAACCAGACAAGGGCCTTTTTTCAAAGTGAAAAAGGGAAAATAACTGGGAAATATGGATGACTTGGCAATATCATGTACTTTGTATTGATAAGTAAGTGTGGAAATTATGAAGCCATTTGTATAGATAGAACTTAAGATATTTCCAACTTGCCGTTTTAGGTTAACCATTATTCATTTTCTAAGTGCTGAAAAGCGCAATAACTTGGTAAATATAGAAGCTATAGTTATGTAACTTGACCAGATCATGTACTTTGTATTGATTAGTAAGTGTGTAAACTAAGAAGCCATTGGTACAGGTAGAACTTTAAGAAAAATCCAACTTGCCGTTCTAGGTTAACCTCGTACGGACAGACGGACGGACGGTTCAATTACTATAGGCCCGGGGGCATAAAAATAATACGTTGGTTATATGGCAAAAGTTTTAGGAAATGTTCGAAAATTGGTGCATCTTTAAATATCATATAGTTTCTTATTTTAGATGAATTTCTTAGATGAATGCCTTTGTAAACCAGACCACGCTTGATAAAACTGATCTATTAGGTATCTGTTACTTACGTTTTTCTATTAGATTTTGATTTAAACAAAAATTGGTATTACCAGTATCACCTTGTTCTGTACATGGCGAGTCCATTTAAAATTTAACGCTAAACTATACATATAGTTATAACATAGTCTAGATATCTTATTTTCATGTGAAGTACAAAGTTAAGACCAAAAGCTGATTATTCTGGTTTTGATTATTATTTCTAGGGGATAACGACCTAGTTCACCATATAACATATATAAAGGTTTACTTTTTCTTCAATGGGTGATTATTCGGAGAAATTCGGTATGTATTTTTTCTTGAAAGTCTAGGTTTTCAAAACCCCAAACTTCACCATTGAATGTAAGAATAGGTAAAATTGTTTGGTCGAAAAGCTGAAATTGAAGGTCAACAGGTATGTCTAGATTAAATATTCTACTATATAAAAGATGCATAGCTTTATTTGCTTGAGAGGCAAGCTATTTTCTAGTACAAAGAAAACTACCCGAGGACGAAAATACCACTCTAAAATATTTATAATCTTTAACAGTTTCAAGGGGTTTACCATCAAGAGTGAAGAGAAAATTTTCGGGTTTGTTCAAGCCAAAAACCATGACCTTTGACTTACTCATATTTATTTCAAGTTTCCATACTTTACAAAAGTTAGAAAAGTCGTTAAGTGTTGGTTGGAATGATATTTTGTCCCCGCTAACAATAATGGTGTTATCTGCATATAACAATACAAAAAGTTTTTAATACACATCAAAGTCATTACTTTGGTAATGCAAGGTTATTCCTTTGTTGTTTAGCTCTAGATAACTTTCAAGATCGTTTAAATATATAGAAAACAAAATCGGAGAAATATTTTCTCCTTGTCTTACTCCGCTTAAACTAGAGAAGAAAGGAGACTAACATTAAAAGAGGACACATTTTATGATTTTTTAACGTATTGCTTGAAATATATTTCCATTTATCCCTGTTTTGATAAGCTTTTAATAAGTCAATTTAGTAATTCATTAGAATTAGTAATTCATCTGTATCAAAATTCATTTCTGGTAAATTAAGCTGTTCAGTTTCTTGATGGGCGTTTCAATGTTTTATGTATTATTGATGTATTAAAATGTATTATTTTCGGGCAATGTACGAGACGACTGCTGTTTTACACAAATTAAGATTTTCCAATAATCACTCGATTTATTTGTGCTTATTTCACGCAATTTCCGTTCATAACTAAATTTATGTTTACTAATGTAAGTATTCATTGTTGCTTGTAAAACCTACTTGCTCTTGTAAGACCTTGTTTATACAAGTCATTTGTATGCAAATAATACTTCTTGTGGGCAGAATGGTTTTAGCGCCGAGCTTTTTCGTGTCTGTTTCTTTTAGAATTGTTAGAATGTAATAAATTGTTATTATTTGAAGAAATATGGAATGTATCAAAAGCATCATCATTAAAGACACTATATATATTCTCTGAGCAATACTATTGATGACTGTCGGGGTCACATTGCTTGCATCTATTGTTGTCAAAATATTATTAATTATTTCAGTTATATTGTTTTCGTTAAGATTTTCAATAAAATTAGGTTCGCGTGATTTTTTGCCATTTTGGAAGTTTACAAATAGTATGCTGATTATCATTATTTTGTAGTATCTCGTTGTTATTGTTTACAACTTGTTCATGCATAACATTAATATCTATTGAAAGTGCAAGAAGGTGGAGAGTGACGTCACGAATAATTAAATTGTGCTAACCTCTTTAATTTCAAAATGAAAAGGATACTCAAAAAGGGGAATTGTACATATAGTGTAGTCTATCACAGATGTATTTCTGAATGTAAAATTGCCTTCGGCCTTGTCTCAGCCAATTCTTCCATTAACTATAAGCATTTCATTATTTTTACTCAAATCGAGTATTTTATTTTACAACATTTAATTTTTTATTCAAAGAGACTCTACTAAATGGAACGCTTAACGTTGACAGCAGTTGGGACGTATTCGTTTGGTTGGTTCATTTGTCATCTTAATCTAACTTATTTGCAATAAAATCAATTTAAACAACAAAATCGTGCTTATTAGCAGTATGCCCATTAAAATCTCCAATTAACATGACATGTTTATGCGTACAGAACATATCAGAGACTATTTTTTTAAAATAAAAGAAAAATCATCCTCTTTAAAAAAGCGTATATAGACACTTCCAATAAGGATATCGTCGTCGAAATTTTTCACTAGTAAGCTTTTTACTTTTAAGCATCCCTGCTGTGCGTATTTTTTGCCGTTGGTGAGTTTGAAGATGGCACGTATGATTTAACCCATTACGCCATATACACGCCTTTTAACGCCTTTTTCACCCCCCTTTTTGTTGTCTCAAATGATGCCTTATTTAGGCCCCCAACACTTGCTTTTGTTTGAGAAATGTTGTTAAAACAAGAAAATTTGGACTTGTGAGAGGCTATAAATGACCCTAGATTGATCATAAGGTAATGTGTAACCAACGCTGAAAAGCATGTGACTCTATCTCAACCCATTGAGAAGTTGCAGCACTTTGAAATCAATTTTGATTGAAAAAATCAACGCAAAATAGTGATTTTTGGCAATTTTGAGATGTCCCCTCGTTGCCATGGTAACAGAAAATTTAAGCCTAAGCATGTTGTTGCAAGGGCAATGGTCCAGTCAACATTTGTGCCAAGTTGATTAGTGTTGAAGCAGTTTTTATAGTATTATAGCAATTTGAACTTGTAACGGGAGACTTTTCAATGAAAATAGCCATTTTTCACAAAATGCTCCTGAAGTAATGGGTTAATTGATCGTATGTTTTTATTTATGTAATGCCCATGGATCAATGTAATTTATTACATAATAAAGAGGTTGTTTTTCTTCATTAAAAATAATATAATTCAATAACAAATTTATGTTTTAATACATGTATTATTAATATAATTATTATTCAATATTTGCATAAAGATATTTTTGAATATTTTATTTACTCCATATAAGTAAAGAAACGTGAGTATGATTGGACCGACCTTTCGGACTTACGAGGCTAAATTAATTAACTTTGCTCCAAAAATTATTTCGATTGAAACATCACGAAAAGCAAATCCCAAAAGTGCATTAGTCACATTGCATATCTTGTGGAATAATTACAATTATTATATTATACTTTATGAAAAACTTTATTATGCGTTTGCTTGTAGCATGACATATTTCAGAGTAATAAAACGAATGAGTAATCATGTCATAATTATTTCACTACAGTTTAATACAAATGGCAAACACACATGCAATAAATACCTTGATCATTTCTTAAATACAGATTTGTAGTAACATTGTCTTTAAACTAAGGTTTTTTAACTCCTAAAATCACTTAGTTTCAATTCGCATTTTGTATTAAGCTCTCTTTCTTTATTTAACATAACGGTATTTCTTATATTTTAAATGGTCCATTTTTTCTATAATTAAAATCACACACAAACACCAACATGCTTTATTTTGGGACTTACCTCTGAAACTGATATGGGGCACGAACATCAAGCGTGAAGCCAGTAAGCAATGCAAGAAAAATTGCATAGAGCAAAACAATAAGGATGTTTAAAACAAGACCGACACTTATCCATTTCCTCTTGAGGAGAGCTGACACTAATGGGTGATCCAACAATTCTATCCGTTTGGATGTGACCTGTAAAAGTCAAACAAGTCTATCCGTACATATCTTTAAAAATATTAAAAAAATACACTTAGAATTTCTTCAACTATAAAATCATTAAAAACTGGAAAACAATTCTAAAACCAATAATAAGCGCAATTGCTTACCATTATCATCAGGGGGTGGTTTTCTTTGATAATGTTTGTATTCTCGGTGTATGGTTTACCTATAAAAAACATTTTGAAATGGACATCACTTGAAATTAAATCGTTTTTCCTGTGCATAAATGTACCAAATAAAGACTTTTAAACATTTCGGAAAGGTTTGAAAATAAGCACTAAAGTGACATTATGCCCAGCCAAGGGTGTATAGTGAGTAAACAGGTGAAAGTCAAAATAAGGTATCATATTGCCATATTTTCTTCCAATTTTATCATATGCTTTGCATGGAAGGTATACACAACCCAAGAAAATGTCTATATATATCCAGCGGAAGTTATATAAAAGGTTGGGGCAGTCTTTTTATATTTAAGGCAGATTTATATTTTATCCTAAACATTTTCCAATACCAACTGTTGGTCAAAGTCAATCTTAAAAATTATTTAGTCAATTTAGCCCATCTAGACAATGCAAAAAGTGAGCATAATGTCACTTCAACTTAGCTTTACATTATTGCATAATGACGCTCATAGCATTAGTATATTTGAACTCTTATGGCTGAAGGTAATAACATAACGTAATCTTTAAGTACCGGCTCCAATGTTATAATGTTTGATAGATATATTTGATATAATAGTACACAAATGTACACAACATATCATAACTGTATTTAATTTCAAAACAACAACAAAAACAAAACAAAAAAATACAGAAGTCAAAATCGACGAAACTTGGTGTAACATATACACAAGGCAGTATTATGTTATTCTATAATAAACTTTTATGAAGTGAAGTGTAAGTAATAAGTAATTAAAACATACTGCTCTGTTTTGTTTCCGAATCTTTAGAATGTTTCGGGTCAACTTTCCTAGCAGCTGAAAAAAAGATATTAATAAAATGAGGGCGATTATCATTTAGAGAAACGTGAACTTTATTCACATCATATTTATAAAAAACATAAGAAAATGTATATTCAAATTCTATTGAAAAAAAAAACTTTTCAATAACAACACATCACTCAACTTTCTTAAATTTTGACTGTATACGCTCGGAATAATGTTGATGTTATGCAGTGGTATGCATCTTTCATGTTCTCTTAGTTTCGTATAAACCAATGGAAGAAAATGTGTTTATTATATGTCTTTGGTATAACAAGCATTGCAATTAAAGATTAAAAGACTAATCATTTTCAATCAAGGCCACAATCTTGACCATAAACAAGGAGGTAGAACGATGCGCGCGCATCCTCAAAGTTTGAACTCAAAGCGCAAACACTACACCCACCGGCATTTTGAAGAAAATTGAATTATGATAAAAAAACATAAAACAGATTTGAATTCAATTTCGTTTGCAAATGAAGGTGTTTCCACTTTTAGTTTTGAAATTCAAATGCTTGACACAACTCTTCCCATTTTTGTCAGAATTTACGCGTTGAATGTGAATTGGAATTTTGGTTTTTGCGTACACCTGACGTTCAAATGTTACAGAAATTGGGAAAATATCGATTCAAATAAATGTTTAAGACGATTGGAAATTAATTAATTGTAGTCTATTTCATTTATTTCAAATATACATTTTCAATCTTTGTTGTTTTTAAAGTGTACAAAAATGTCTTAAAACGCAATATTTACAGAAAAAAGACATTATGATACTGCGTATAATCTCAAAAATAGAATACACTGCGTGCTATATCTACTGTGTACAGTTTCTTAAAAGCAGTCTGTAATTCAAAGTGGAATGAAATGAGTAACATGGGAAACCAAAAAGGAAAAATAGCAAGATTCAAATCTTGTGATAAAAGTTTGCTCCTTTTAAACTGTATAAATCTTAACATCCTACAAAAGACCGGAGTTTAACATATGTCACATATTTTTTAACTCATTTTTTAACACTATCCTAATCATAGTTTTTTAATCCTCATTCTGAAATAATAACCTTTGTTGTCAAATTAATATCTCAATAGAAATGAATGTATCCAGATTTCCTTGTGAATTCTTCTCTATTGGATCTTCATCTCTAAGACAGCATGAAGGGCGACATCAGCAAGATAGGCCTAACATATAATACCTATATAGACAAGTGGCTTTGTTCAGATTATGATTACTAAACATATACGAAGTGTCATACTTCTGAATGCATATATGAATGTCATTGTGAAATTCGTTGAGGAAAATTGTTCAAGGTTTCACATGATTAAGAAAATAACAACAACAACAAAAAACCAAAACAAAGAAAAAAGCCAAACATAGAAATTCAGATGTGACAAGCTTGGTTTAGCTTTCTCTGATAAAGACCAGCAAGATATACATGAGGACAAAAAACAAGATAAATGTGTTAAATGACGCAGGGAATAAGAGTGCCATTTAAAGACACTCGTTTCAGAAATTTCTAAAGGAAATGACTTTACGGGAAGGAGTTTCCAAGCAAGGCGTGTATTGGGTCTTATCTCCTTTATGTCAATGAAAAATCCTAATTACGATCACTCTGGAATTAAGACCCCCGTTCTATTAATATCATATTTTGATATTTCATTGGTTACATGATCCACAATTAACATGATCCGCTTATTCACTATAAGGACCATCAGTTATTGTCAATATTAATTCATTTTTACTGTTTAACCAGATAAATTGTATGAACCATATTAAAATCGATCTTTATATTTCTTTTCTTTCTGGGATGTACATGTCTAACATTTGCATTCAACGCAAAATACTGACCAGAAAGGGAAGAGATGTGTCAAGGCATTTGTAATATTCAAACTAGAAGTAAGAACATCTTCTTTATAAAAGAAATAAAATTTAAATTAATTCGTGTTGTTTCCACAAGACTTTTTTCATCAAAATACCGGTTGACAAAGTATACTTGGTATCAGAACATTGATGATGCGTAACATCATGACCTTGACTCCGTTAGACTTTGTTAAGTAGTCATTGTAAGCTACATACAGCTATGTTTCGTTTCCGAATCTTTGGAATTCTTCGAGTCATCTTTCTTTGTAGCTGAATTAGATATAAACTAAATGATTGTAAATTTCATTTCATTTTTAAAGCAGAAACTGTATATTCATATTTCATTTCATTTGAATCAAATAATATTTCAATTTCTAATAACAACATTCATTTGTTTTATATGCCTGAAAAAGTGTTGATGATATGCGCCTGGTCTCTTATCTGTAAGCAGTTTCCTGTCACATTTGTATAATTAAGGTACTAAGCAGAAATGTGTCCAAACTCTTATGTAATTTAATTTCATGTTCTATAACCAGCATCTGGTCTGTAAGTAAGGCGACAATTCTGAAAGTCATCAATTAGCTATTGATTCTAACAGATATTGATGGGTTGTTGAACTGTTTTTATTCATAGTTTTATTTTTTTTAAAATTAACAACAACAATAACAGCAACAACAAAAGAAACCACTAAATACAATATCAAAGCCGACAAAATTTGGTAAAACATATTAATATGGTAATGTTATGCTATTCTATATCAAAATTTTATGAAGGGAAATGAAAGTAATAAGTAAGTAAATACATACTGCTCTGGTTTGTTTCCTTATCTTGAGATTGTTTCGGGTTAACTTTGTTGTCAGCTGAAAAAAAGATATCAATAAATTGGGGGCAATGATAAGTTCAAGAAACGTGAAGTTTATTCATATTATCCTATTGAAATTAAACAGAAAATGCTTATTCATATTCTATTGAAATACAATTGTGTTCTTCTTTTCAATAACAACACACACCACTCAACATTTTAAAATACTGAAAGTATACCCTCGGAATAATTTTGATGGGGTCGTATACATCTTTCTTTCTCGCATAGTTTCGTATAATCAACTTGATGGAAATTAGAACTACTTAAACATTGTTAATTATATGTCTTAGGTTTAACAAACATTGCTATAAAAGACTGATTGTTGATCAAGGGCCATCAGCAAGCTGTAAATGTATTCTATATTAAGGAGGCGATCCTCAAAGATCAGATAGCACGAACAATTTATCAACTGGCATTTGGAGGAAAATCTAATCATGATAAAAAGGAAAAAAAAGAATTTTATTTCGTTTGCAAAGAAGATATTTTCATTTAAGTTTTAACATTTAAAATGCTTTGTTACAACTCTTCCCGTTTTGTCAGCATTTTGCGTTGGATGTGTTTTGGAGTTTTGGTTTCTGTGTACACCTGGCGTTAAAATGTTACAGACATTGTGAAAATATCTATAAATTTAATGTTTCAGACGATTGAAAGTTAATTCATTGTAGTTTCTATTTCAGATATTTCAAAAATACATTTTCAACCTTTGTTTTTTGTGTGGTTTTTTTTCATCGTACAAAATTTCTAAAATTGCGCTTTTAATAGAATATATACATTATGGTACTGCATATATTCTCAACAATAAACCTAGACACTGTGTACACATTTTGTGCTATTGCTACTGCGTACAGTTTCGTAAAAGCAGTCTGTAATTCAAAGTTGAATAAAGAGGGCAGCACAGGAAGTCAAAAAGAATACAATGATAAGATTCAAATATTGTGATAAAAAATTGCTGATTTTAAAATTTAAGAACCATACTGTTAAAATCTTAACATCCTAATTTTCATATTTTTTTACTAATTTTTGTAACACTTTCCTGATCATGGGTTTATGTAATCTTCATTTCAAAAAGATTATCTATGTACTCAAATTTATATCCTATTAGAAATGAATATATTCAGATTCATTGTGTCCATTGAATCATCATCTCTCAGGCAATACAATGGGCGACATGGGCAAGATAGCCCTTACATATATTACCTGTATAGGCAAGTGGCTTTTTTCAGAATATAATTACTTAACATTAACGAAGCGTCATACTTCCAAATGCATATATGAATGTCATTGTGGAAAATCATTGTGGAAAATCATTCTATTTTAAGCTTTTGTGGCCATTTTTATGCAGCGAAGCTAAACATGCCCGTGATGTACACAACTGGGGATGGTACTGATCACTCCTGTAATGTTTAGCTGAAATCACACCAGTAGTTTGACCTGTGAAGGCCAGACAAGATTTTTCTATTTTTAGCTCTGGTGGCCATTTTGTGCAGCGAAGCTTACCATGCCGGTGATGTGCACAACTAAGGATTGTACTGATCACTCCTGTAAAGTTTGGCTGAAATCCCACCAGTAGTTTGACCTGTGAAGGCCAGATAAGATTTTTCTATTTTTAGCTCTGGTGGCCATTTTGTGCAGCGAAACGGAACGTGCCGTAGATGTACACAACTAAGGATGGTACTGATCACTCCTGTTAAGTTTGGCTGAAACCCCATCCGTAGTTTGACCTGTGAAGGCCAGACAAGATTTTCCTATTTTTAGCTCTGGCGGCCATTTTGTGCAGCGAAGCTGCACATGCCGGTGATGTGCACAACTACGGATGGTACTGATCACTCCTGTAAAGCTTGGTTGAAATCCCACCAGTAGTTTGACCTGTGGAGGCCGGAGACCTTTTTTTCTATATTAAGCTCTGGTGGCCATTTTGTGTAGTGTAGTGCAACGTGCCGGTGATGTGCAAAACTAGGGATGGTACTGATCATTCCTGTAAAGTTTTGTAAAAATCCCACCAGTACTTTGACCTGTGAAGGCCAGACAGGATTTTTGAATTTTTAGCTCTGGTGGCCATTTTGTGCAGTGTAGCGCAACGTGCCGGTGATTTGCCCAACTTGGGATGGTACTGATCTCTCCTGTAAAGTTTGTCTGAAATCCCACCAGTAGTTTGACCTGTGAAGGCTTGACAAGATTTTCCTATTTTAGCTCCGGTGGCCATTTTGTGCAGCGAAGCGAAACGTGCCGGTAATGTGCACAGCTAGGGATGGTACTGATCACTTTTCACTGATCACAGTTTGGTTTAAATCCCACAAGTAGTTTGACCTATGAAGGCCGGAGATTTTTGTATGTTTAGCTCTGGTGCCCATTTTGTGTAGCGCAACGCGCCTGTGATGTGCACAACTAGGGATGGTACATATCACACCTGTGAAGTTTGGTTAAAATCTCACCTGTGAAGGCCGGACAAGATTTTTCTATTTTTAGCTCTGGTGGCCATTCTGTGCAGCGAAGCAGAACGTGCTGGTGATGTGCACAACTAGGGATAATACTGATCACTCCTATGAAATTAGGTTAAAATTCCACTAGTAGTTTGACCTGTGAAAGGCGGACAAGCTAAATGCGGACGGACGGACAACCGGACGGAAGTACTTACGAAATGGTTCTTATTTCACTTTTCCTTTGATCTTTTTAGTCATTTTAGTCACACAAGGCTTAAAAAAGACAAACAAGTGAACACAGAATGAAAAGGATCAAAGAGAATTTAATATTGAACCTATTATTCTCCAAGTCACACAAGTACCTCTGGGTTTGAACGGACAGACGGACGGATAGACGGCGAAGGCAAAAACAATATGTCACCCAAACATTTTGGGAGACATAATTAAATTCAAATTATTTTTGTTTTTTATGACTATTTTCTTCAATATACCGATTGACAAAGTATTCTTGCTATCAGAACAATGAGGATGCGAGAAATTAAAACCGATAAACTTCGGCGTTACATCATGTCTTTGTCTCTGTAACTAGTCATTTTAAGATACATACTGATCTGTTTCGTTTCCGAATCTTTGAAATGCTTCGAGTCATCTTTCTGTGTAGCTGAATTAGATATAAATTTTATGGTTGTAATTTTCATTTAATTTTTAAAACATCCTTTATATTTCATTTCATTTGAATTAAATGATATTTTACTTTTAATCAAAAATTCCCATGTTTTGTTTGTAAACGCCTGAAAAAATGTTGATGATATGCGCATTGTTTCAAATCTGTAATCAAATTCCTGTTTCCCAGTCTCATTACTATGATTAAGATTCTAAGCAGAATTATTTACTAAAAATGTTTACCAAAGTCTTTGGTAATTTAATTCCATGTTATATAAGCAGCATCGGTATAATTAACTGGTCAGCAATCAAAGCCGGAAAAAATCGGTATAACATATTAATAAAGTAATGTTATGTTATTCTATGTTAAACCTTTATGAAGAGAAATGAAAGTAATAAGTAAGTTAAAACATACTGCTCTGGTTTGTTTCCTTATTCTGAGAATCTTTCGGTTCAACTAGACTGGCAGCTGAAAAAGATATATATAAATTGGGACAATATTCAGTTCGAAAAACGTTAAGATTATTCACATCCTATTTAAATAAAACAAACAAATCATATTCATATTTTATTGAAATAAAACTGTTTATTATATACTTATAAATGAAATATTGAGAAATATTGATGAAATAAAATGCGTATTATCATTTTCCGTATTTTCACTGTAAAAATTTATTTTTCACTGCAGTGAAACATATTTTCCGTATTTTAACTGGTGTCTTGACGGACTACTTTCTTTTAAATTCTGCCAGTACACAAAATTTAAGGCAAAGTCTTTCAAATTTTATCGCACATGATTTATTTTCATCTTGTGGCATGAAAATTACCATCTTTCACTCGTGGCTACCGCCACTCATGAAATATTTATTTTCATACTACTTGATGAAAATAAATCATGTATTTATAGAAAAAACTTGAATATCCTCTATGTTCTACTTTTCAATAACAATACACAACTCAACATTTTAAAATACTGACAGTATACGCTCGGAATAATTTTGATGATATGGGGCCGTATGCATCTTTCCTGTTCGCTTAGATTTGTATACACAAATAGAAGAAAATTGGAACTACTTAAAATTGTTAATTATAATTATGTCTTGGTTGTAACAAACATTGCTATAAAAGACTGATTGTTGATCTGTAAAGGTATTTCATATTATCAAGGTGATACGATGGACGCATCCTCAAAGATCAGATAGCGCGAACACTTTATCGACCGGCTTTGGAAGAACATCGAATCATGATAAAAACAAACAGGAAATATTTGAATTTACTTTCGTTTGCAATGAAGATTTTTGTCAATTTTAGTTTTAAAATTTAAAATGCCTTGACAGAACGCTTCCCGTTTTGTCAGCATTTCAAAAGAAATGAATGCCATTGTGGAAAATCGTTCAAGGCTTCATATGATTTGAAAACAAAACACATAATAAAATCCAAACATAGAAATTTAGATGTGACAAATGTGGCTTAGCTTTCTCTGACAAAGAAGATCTTACCGACCACCAAGATAAATATGAGGACAAAAAACAACATAAATGTGGTAAATGTGTTATATGATGCAGGGAATGAAAGTGACCTTTGAAGACACTCCTCTCAGAAATTTATAAAGGAAACAACTTTACGAAAAAGAGTTTCCACGCAAGGCATATATTGCGTCTTATCTCCTACATGTCACTTAAAATCCTGTCAAGTGAAGCACAGACGAGACCCTAACTAAGACCACTCTGAATTTAAGACCACTCTTCTATTAACAAATTTCAAAATACTGATCAGAAAGGGAAGAGTTTCCTCAAGACATTTTCAAACTAGAAGTACGGACATCTTTATACAAAAGAAATTAAATTCAAATTAATTCTAGCTTTTTACATGTCTATTTTCTTCAATATACAAGTTGACAAAGTATACTTGCTATAAGAACATTAAAGATGCGAGAAATTAAAACCGATAAAATTCGGCTTAACATCATGACTTTTATTCCATTAGACAATATTGTTAACTAGACATTGTAAGATACATTCTGCTCTGTTTCGTTTCCGAATCTCTGGAATGATTCGAGTCATCTTTCTTTATAGCTGAATTAGATATAAACTAAATGGTTGTAATTTTCATTTCATGTTTAAAGCAGAAACTGTATATTAATATTTCATTTCATTTGAAAAAAAAATGATATTTCATTTTTTAATAACAACATTCAAGATTTTGATTGTATATGCCTGAAAAAGTATTGGTGATATGCGCCTGGTCTCTCATCTGTATGCAGTTTTCTGTCCCATTAGTGTAATTAAGCATTAATTACCAAAGTATAAATAAGCATTAATTACTAAGCAATATGTTTACTTAAATTGTTTACTCAAACCTTGGCACTTGAATTCCAAGTTATATAACCAGCATCGTTAAAATTAATTGGTCTGTAATTAGGGCAACAATTCTGATAGCCAGCAGATAGCTATTGATTCCAATGGATATTGATGGGTTGTTAAACTGTTTTCATTCATAATTTTATTTAAACAACAACAACAAAAAAACCCTACCTAAATACAGAAATCAAAGCCGAAAAAATCCGGTACAAGTATATTACATCAATAAGGTAATATTATGTTATTCTATGTTAAACCTTTATGAAGGGAAGTGAAAGTAATCAGTTATAAGTAAAAACATACTGCTCAGGTTTGATTCCTTATCTTGAGATTGTTTCGGGTCAACTTGATTGGCAGCTGAAAAAAGATATAAATAAATTGGGGGCAATTATCAGTACGAGAAACGTTAAGTTTATTCATATCCTATTTAAATAAAACGAAAATGCATATTCATATTCTATTGAAATAAAAGTGTGCTCTACTTTTCTAGAACAATACACAACTCAACATTTTAAAATACTGACGGTATACGCTCGGAATAATTTTGATGATCTGGGCCGTACGCACCTTCCTGTTCGCTTAATTTCGTATTAACAAATGGAAGAAAGTTGGAACTACTTATAACTTGTTAATCATATTCTTAGATGTAACAAACATTCTTATAAAAGACAGATTTCTTTTATCAAGGGCCATCAGCAAGCTGTAAATGTATTTTATATCATCAAGGTTGTACGATGGACGCATACTCAAAGATCAGATAGCGCAAACACATTATCAAGCTGGCATTTGGAAGAAAATAGAATCATTATAAAAACATAAAAAAGATTTGAATTTAATTTCGTTTGCAAAGAAGATGTTTTCGCTTTTAGTTTTAAAATGTAAAATGCCTTGACACAACGCTTCCCGTTTTGTCAGCATTTTTGAATTCGGTGTACAACTGGCGTTGAAATGTTAGGAAATTGTGAAAATATCTTTGAAATAATGTTCAGACATTTGGAAATTAATTCATTGTAGTATCTATTTCAAGTATTTCAAAATACATTTACAATCTTTGTTCTTTCTTTCATTTGTACAAAAATGTCTTAAAACGCAGTATTAACAAATGATATACATTATGATACTGCGAATATTCTCAACAATAAATCAAGACAAATCATCTCTCAGACAACACATTCGGCGACATCGGCAAGAAAGACCTTAAAAATATTACTTATATAGACAAGTGGCTTTTTCAGAGTATAATTACTTAACCTATAAGACGCGCGTCATACGTGAATGCATATATGAATGTCATTGTGGAAAATAGTTCAATGCTTCACATGACTTGAAAACAAAACACATAATAAAATCCAAACATAGAAATTTAGATGTGACAAATGTGACTTAGCTTTCTCTGACAAAGAAGATCTTACCGACCACAAAGATAAATATGAGGGCAAAAAACAACATAAATGTGGTAAATGTGTTATATGATGCAGGGAATGAAAGTGACATTTGAAGTCACTCCTCTAGGAAATTTACAAAGGAAACCACTTTACAACAAGGAGTTTCCAAGCAAGGCATCTTTTGCGTCTTATCTCCTACATGTCACTTAAAATATTGTCAAGTGCAGCACAGAAGAAACCCAAATTTAGACCACTCTGAATTTAAGACCACCCTTCTATTAATATCATTTTAATGTGTCATAGTGTATATGATCCACAATTTATATGATCTTATTATTCACTAGCAGGACCATCAGTTTATGTCTATATTCATTCTTTTAACTGATTATGTAAAAAAAACACTATTCAGTAATGATAAAACTCTAATACAGCACATGAAAAATAAATTAAAATAAAACTAAAATTTTGTGAAACATTAACACGTACCAAAGAAACAACTTAATTCAAAACTTTTCTTACTTCAGTTATACTTTTACAATTCAATTTACCATTTAAACAAGGCAGTCTGAAGGACAGCTAAATCCCCGTCCGCACTGAACATGAATGTGTACATATTGACCTTTTACCACCATGACCTTGATGTTGTGCCATGCATATCATCAGCACATATTAGTAGTCTCATGTTTGTGATAATTTGTGCCAAGTTATCAAAAGTCTTCCATAAAACCTTGTCCTTTGGGGTAGCAACCTGGATATTGAGCTCCGTAGATTGTGTCATGTTGGGGATCATTTGTGTCAAGTTATTGTAAAACCTTTGAATTGTCAATAAGTTATAGAGCGAACATGAAAAATAGATGTTTTTACATTGGACCTTTGAGTGTGACCTGATCTTCGGGGTTGTGACTTGATTATTGTGCTCTGGAATGGTTTCAAAATGGTGATCTTTTTTGTCAAGTTATCTTAAAATCATTGAATCAGTTAATGTAGTAAATGTGATGGACAGACACAAAATGAATACTTTCTAACATGTGACCTGTAAGTGTGACCTTGACCTTGGGTGTAGCAATTCAATTATTGCGCTTTGCACATCGCCTCATAATAGTGAGATCTTATGCCAAATTATTTAAAAAAACTTTTCAGCGGTTAAAAGTTATGGAGCGGGCACGAAATGAACATCGTCTCATTATGGTGATCACTTGTGCCAAGTTATTTAAAACAACTTAGTGGTTTAAAAGTAATGGAGCGGACACGAAAGTGTTACGAACAGACGAACGGACTGACAGACGGAGGCCATTCCTATAATCCCCTTCCGCTACGCGGAAGCGGATTGATACATACAGTTGCCAGTACAACAGGAACGAAAATATAATTATGATGAGACGTTATCGTGTTATTTGCTTGTTATAAATCTTATTTTTATCTCACTCAAAAATTAATATCTGAATGATACTTTGAATGATCTGTTCAGCTCCTTCTTTGTTCATGTTGTGCTTCAAATCATTTAAAGTTTTGAACCATTTTCCTCAATGACATTCATACTTGCGTTTAGACGTTTAGATGTGTTTTGTAACAATACTCAGAAAAAAAGCCTTTTGACTACATAGTTATGTGTCATGATGTCCATATCGTTCCTTAAGTTGTCTGGGTGAAGAATTTACCACATTTGTTTGCTAATAAATTGTATGAAACATATTGAATTCGATATTTATCTCTTTTCTAGGATGTACATTTTAAACATTTCTTTTCTATGGGTAAAAACAAGATTTGATCTTTTGGTCCGCGCGTTCTTTAACAATAAAGCACAGACTGCTTCGGAGAACGTATACGCAGTTAAAAAAAACTAGATTTGTTTTTGAGTGTGTACGCACAATCACAATTTATATTTACAGAAAAAAAGACCGATATAATAAATTTCCCATTACAATGAGAAAGAACGTAGGTTTAGAAATGCATTTTCTTTAAAAAAAAAATATACAATAACACTAATTCTTTTCGGCTGTCGGAAAGTGTTAATGAAATAGATATTTTCTCAATTTCAGTTACATGTCGACGCCGGGGTACATGTACGCTGTATCCAGAACACAAATGGCATTCAACGTAAAATACTGACAAGAAAGGGAATAGTTTTGTCAATGCATTTGTAACTTCTGCCGATCTGTTTCGTTTCCGAATCTTTGGAATGATTCAAGTCATCTTTCTTTGTAGATGAATTAGATATAAATTAAATGGTTGTAATTTTTATTTTATTTCGTCTGGGTGAAGAATTTACCACCAAATCGGCGTACATTAATTTCCTAATAAATTGCATGAAACATATTAAATTCGATCTTTATATTTCTTTTCTTTCTAGGATGAATATCCTTAATAAATGCATTCAACGCAAACTACTAACAAGAAAGGAAAAAGTTGTGTCAAGGCATTAGTGATATTCAAACTAGAAGTAATGACATCTTCTTTACAAAAGAAATTAAATTCAAATACATTCTTGATTTTTTACATGACTATTTTTTGTCAATATGTCGGCGGATAAAGATAACATGCTATCAGAATATTGAGGATGCGAGAAATTAAACCCGATAAACTTCGGCGTAATATAATTTCTGGCTAGTGTTAAGTTTGACTCCGTTAGACAATATTGTTAAGTTGACATTTTAAGGACATACTGCTCTGTTTCGCTTCCGAATCTTTGGAATGCTTCGAGTCATCTTTCTTTGTAGCTGAATTAGATATAAATTGTATAATTAAAAAACACAGAAACTGTATATTTTTATTTCATTTTATTGTAATAAAATGATATTTCACATTTTTTACAACACAGTACTAACAATTACTTCATAATTGTATGCTAGCAATTTTGTTTGTATACAACTGAAAGAGTTTTGATAATATGCGCCTGATATCTCACCTGTAAGCAATTTCCTGTCCGATTAATATATTTAAGATATTGAGCAAAATGTTTACCACGGTCTTTGTTGATTTAATTCCATGTTATATAACCAGCAATGTTTGTACCTTCCACATATGAAAGATATCTTAAAATAAAATGAAGAAATTAGGAGAAAGTTAAAATAAATCCCACTTGCTGGAATAGGTTAACCATAAAAGGCCCTATTTTCAAAGTGATATAAAGGGAAATAAATGCCAAATATGGATTTCATAGCTATATAACTTGTCAACAATGTGTACTTTGTATTGATTAGTAAATAATTGAGTCATTAGGAGACATATCTTACTTGCTGGGTAAAGTTAACCACATCCATATTTGATATGCTGAAAAGGGCAATTAATTTGAAGAAATGGAAGCTTTAGTTTTACTTGTCCATATTAGCAAGCGTTTAATGGTACATGTAGAATCTTAGAAAACTCCAACTTGCCGCTTAATGTTAACCTTGTGCGGACAGACGGTCGGACGGATGGTTCAATTACTAAGTATATACCTGGGGATATGGATATGAAATAATCAGTGTTAAAGATGTTTTAATCTATAAGTATTTCTAACTTCACATTGGGAATTTTTATAGGGATTTTGCTAAATGATCTAATTGATTATGTTGTATGTTATTAAAACTTAATTAACTCAAGGACAGTAGTAATTCTTCAAAAACATGTTTTCGATGTTTAATTGCTAAATGTAATCTGTGTCTAAATTACTTTGAAATGAATCGATTCCACTCATTCTTTGTAAATGTCTCTTTCTACCATCAATAGATATTTTCATCAAATGTCCTATTTCATTGTATTAATGACAATTTCTAAGTGATCATTTTCAATCCTTCATATATAATATCTTCCATAATACTATCCATTTTAATTTCGTCTGATTTTGAGTGTAATGTAAATTCAAAGTTTGTGCGATTGTCTTTATACATATTGTTTGTCTGGATGACTCGGGAAGGCAAATATTAATAAGATCGTTTCTTATAATTATAAAAGGAATTTTAAACTGAAAATGTTGTCAGATATATTGCTCATCATCAACTGATGTCTGCTGTATTTTGATTTAATTTATTCGTATAATTCAGTTTAACTAGTAAAACATATTTTAAATACAACGGTATGCCTTGTTGTTGTAAACATATTGATATCCAAGGTATATTTATGTATTTTCTCTACAATAAATTAGATCATGTTGATCTCTAACTTAGCCTATTATAAGAATTGTACATAAATTATAGAAAAGTTTAAAACGCTGAACTTATTAAACACTGGACGCATAAAAAGAAGTAAAACTTTGAAAAAAATTAACTACGATAAAAATGAATTTCTGCAACGACCTCAAGTTAGCACTGAAATGTTCAATATGTTTGCCCGCATAATATGCATGTGATCATGTCAATAAGATTTAAACAGATTTATTACATGCTTTTCGGTGGTTTATAGAAATATATCAGTGACTTAAAACTGGTAATTTCACTGTTTGAAACAGTGAAATTACCACTTTGATAATTTCACTGTTTTGAATTTAAGCCCCTTACGTTGTTTCAGTGAAATACCAGCGTGCACAGTACTGGGTACCAACTTAATGACGTGACGTCGTAAATGACGTCACGTTGTATTATTATTTGGCGCGCTTTTCATTCAGTATTAGGTTTAATGTCTTTTTAAAACGTTTCTTTGCATATAATAAAAAGAAAATTTGTTTAGTTTAGTGTAAGATCGAAATATATTTCACCTTGTGAACACCAAAAGTTCATATTTCACTCGTGGCTGCGCCACTCGTGAAATATACCATTTGGTGCTCACTCGGTGAAATATATTTCGATCTTACACTGAACTAAACAAATATCCTCTATATCTGTATGTTATAAAGTAAAAGTTCACAAATTCAATTTGAAATTTGAAGTTAATCCCTTCAGTAGCAAAAATGATAAGTGGAAAATGTATATAAGGTTGTTCAAGTAAAATAAAAATTCAAAGATGAAGCAACACTTGCAATAAGGATGCTAAAGTTATAAATGTGCCATGCACAATGTGAATAATTACAACGAACAATAATAAATGTCAAGTTCAAAAATAAAATAGCGATAATTCTGGAAAAACAGAAGCTAGTATTATAAATCTTTTTCAAATATGACAAGGTATAACAAACATATATTTTTGAAGTTACATCCCTAAAAATTAAAGAGTTTACAGAAAAAAAGAATTAAAGGGAAGATAATTTGAAAAAATTGAAAATGTTGATGCTAATATTAAAGACATTATCATTTCATCATTACATGGGAGTCGATATGAAACTTAGATTTGAAGTTAAAAGCAAGAGACGAGAGCAATAGAATGTTTAATGGGGGAAATATTTTTTCAACAAATTCATGCTACAGTTTTGAATCTTGTCACATGCAGTGTGAATGATAATAAGGAACACATATCTGAATTTTCATGTAATTTTGCAGATTTTAATGCTTCAGATGACTCACCTTTTTCAAGATATTGAAGTATATAACTTAAGAAAATACGAAGTTTTAGTTACAAGGATAAATCGTCCGTTCAAGGGGGTAATTCTTGTGTTTTGAGCTATGAATCTTAACACACACCATGTGGGTGATAATAAGTATCATATATTTAAAGCTTGAAGCAGTAACCTTCAAAAGTAACTGAAAATGATTTTGAGTCCAAGGAGGGATAATTCTGAAACAAAATATGTGCTAGAGATATGACTCTTGCCACAATCATTTGGGTGATTGTAAGGAACTTAATTTAAATTTTGGAGTAGGTACCTAAAGAAATAAAGTAGTTTTTAGCAGTTTTTTTAAGGACAAATCTAATTTAATGCGGAAATTATTATAACAATATTGGTACTAGAGTTAGAAACATTGTCACATATGAAGTGGTTGATCATCAGAAACATATGTTTGACGTTGATCTCTTGAGAAATAAAGAAGTAAGAATAGAAAGATGATGTATTTAGAGAAATTTTTAAGATGAAAGAGAGATTATTCAGAAAAAATGACTTTTTAAGTTTTGAACTTTTACACATAAGATGTGGTTGATGATAAGGAACATATATTTGATGATCTAAGTTGATAGCTTAAGAAATAAAATATTTCACTGCTAAAAATTTTAATCCCAAATTTGTAAAATTCTATCATATGAAATTAATCCTATAATCATATGATATTTCTGAATTAAATAGATCGAACTTTGCAATAAATACATGAAATATATGTGATGGTTTATGAAAATAGTGAATAAATGGAGATAATCAAGCCGAGGCAATATTTACTTTAAGGATTATTTTATTTTGTGATAAGACATCGCATTTTGATAATGAACAATTTATATTTAGACAACAGCGCTAGCTAAAAAAAGGAGAAATTCGTAGCATACAACAGGATCCGTACCAGCTGGTAACAGATGTACCGTTTTGGAAAGTATATGGCCATAGAGAAAGCCCTTTTATCTATTTTAATAAAACTTACTAACTTTATTTTTTTTAAAAAGTGAAAATAACAGTTTTTTCTTCACATCCGTTGATTAAAATTATGATCAACATGAACTTACGATAATGTCTTCCGTTTTATTATTTTACCTATTTGTATGTTTTTAAGGAATAATTTTATCAATTACTAAAAGCATTTCTATCCAGCTAGCTAACAGATCGTTGGAGGATCTTTTTAGGTGTCCGTTGTGACTGAAATGATTCACAAAGTGCACATCAGTTATTCTTTCACCGGTTAAGCTGGTAAGTTGTCATATAACATATGTCCTGGTGAGGCGTTAACCCAATCATAAGTTTAAGAAACAATAAAAAAAATAGGATTTTTTACGGCAATTTCGATAATCAAATTTGCCGAATAATGATACAGTATTTATATTTTAAAAAATAAGGTTTCCATCGCCACATCAGCGTTGTAAAAAGTCATCCGTACATTCAATTAGAGATGTTATATTTCCGATCCTTAAAGATCGTTCAACACGACATTATTTTTGTATTTGTGGTATTTATTAGTTTCAACTATTTGACTTTTTCGATTTGGGTGGTTCAAATATATTCCTACTTGAATAATATTGAATCACCCGTAGGATATGATGCCTGCTGTTTAACTTTGTCTGTTGATGTCATATCTGTACTATGCAGGCTTCATTACCTCTGATCCCCTTTCAAAATTTCATATTGTTTAGCTCCGCCTATTGTTTTCTCGTTTCGGGCACACGCTTTCTATTACTGCGGGACAATAAGCCGCTTTCATTGAATAGCACGGGAGTGTCACATTGAAGGTTCGTGATAACTGCGGCAGGAAAATATCTGCTGATGTTTCTAAATTCAAAATTTTGCCATTTTGTATTTAAATGTTGAATTCTGCTTAAGCCGGTGCTATGGGGCATGGACGCTAGTTTGCACTTAACAGTACAGTCCATGAACATGCTCAATCAAACCGAGTCTGCAACATTTTCAATATTGCCGTTTTGGACTTTATTTATGGATTCTTTTCTTCTCTATTTCAAAATTGTCTTGAAAACAAAACTTTCTAATAATTTAAAATAACTTATTTTTACTTTAAAAGGTAAGTTATTTGTTTATATTTCTCCTACCTTGTTGCTTTGGAGGTATGTGTTTTCTCCAAGTTCCAAGCTGGTAAGTGTCATCAAGAAATTCATAATTGAATGTTACTTCAAATTGCTTGCTGCTAGCCTTCGACATTTTTGTGCAATGATTAAATACTTTCCTGGCTGCCTCTAAACCGTGATCATAAAAATACGTAAACATGTATATACATTAGAAAGATTGCCTCAATGACATAAGTACTTAAGGGCTAAATGTTTAATTCAACTTTCAAGTTTTGTAAAATGGTAAAATCCCTGTGTTTTAAAACGTATTAACATTACCATAACTACTTTAGTAATGTTCAGACAGAATATTCGCATGTCGGGATGACGATTACACAAAGTTCTGCAAAGTATTGTTTCAAAGCAACCATAGTAAATAAAGCTATGGTACGTTTTATAAATCAAATGTTATGTTTTATATGTAAGTTATATAAACTTATTGATTTTCTGGTCATTTGTCTTTATCAGTCTACTACTCGGTGAATGGGGATCTCAAGAACGACTGTTTATTCAAACTTAACCTCTCTATATTATTTGTGGTTAAATATTAACATCGAAATTAAAACATACATAATGCAAACAATAGACAGAAACTATCAAGTAAGTTTTAAACATACCAGGCATTTGTCTGATTAGCTTTCTCATTGGTGTGTCATGAAACTCATCCGAGTCATTTAATTTTGATCTTGATCGCAGCATGTTTGTCCATTTGGAGTTCTCAATTTGAAAGATCCTAAGAACTGTTTCCCTGGAAATAGCCATATTTTGATCAAAATGTTAAGGCCATTTTTATAAGATTCGTGATTTGCAAAACTCAACTTTTACACATTATTTTAAAAGTCATATATTTTTTGCTACACGATGGTGTCAATAGCAGCTTGATGAAGTAAAACCCAAACAATAGTTTTAAGCAAATCTTTATGTTAAGTTATATTTGTAACTAGTTCTAAATTGTTTTGCTCAAATGGGAAAAAAGAATTCATGACAATGCAAGGTCAACACTTACACGTGGTTATTATCAATCGCTAGATCTAAACAATTTATCGCTGATTTATCAAAATCAATCTTTTTTGAACTTGCAAGCTTATAGAACACTTCGGTTTGACCTTTTTGCGCAGCAAAATGTATAGGTCCCATCTAATTAAAAAAGAAATAAGATTAAAATATTCAGAAATAACGAATTATTCCTCTGAATAATAATAATAATAATAATTATAATATAGTTTACAAATTTATAACAGCAGGGTTAATTTGAAAACTTAAATGCATCAAAGTATACTCAAAGAAATTCAAACTAGAACTTAAGTTTTGTAAAATAATCAGAATACTGGTACTGGTAGCACTGTATACCTTAATATGGGCAAAACATGAAAAAGAAATTAATTACGATTTTAATAGTGTAAAATTCTGATATGTTAATTATTCCTTGTAAATACGCCTCAACAAACCAAATATTTCCGAGTCAATCTTTTATGCGCCGATGATTTTTCATCAGAACGGTTAAACCAAAATCGGTCAAATGAAAAGTAATATGTTTATGAATAATAGGTAGTGACGAATCAAAATCAAAAACCTTTCAGACGAAATTTTTTCAATAAGCAATCCAACTTTACCATTATCAATTAGTCAGAAAGGTATTTTTAGAAATGGTAAGCAAATATGCTTGCAACTTTAAGTTTTTGGTATAGTGCAGATGAACTAAAAATGTGTTTACGATGAAAAAAGGAGTTTGATTTTTACACTATTGAATTTGTTGCTTATTCATACTAATTTCTTTTTATCATACCATCAACAATACTCAAAACTGTTTAATCTATTTGAAAATGTATGACATCTTATCGTATGTTTTATCCAAGTCATTATATAAATATTACATCCTACATGTGATGCTAACGTAGCCGTTAGCCGATGTTGTCATTATTCTGTCGACGGTAAACATTTCGTTCTATCACAAGCAGTGGGGTGTGTTTTTTTTATTGTATTATACCCGTACAAATCAATAATTTAGAAGAAAATCTAATAAATAAAGCCCAAACCATGATAAGCGTGTGAGGGCTATTCAGTAATATCAGTGGGCCGAAAAGTAATGTTACCATGTGACATTGCGTATTTAACCTCTGATATTACCTCTGAAGGCTACATAGTAAATAAATCACGTGAAGTGTAACAAAAACATTTTTAACATAATACTTGAGAAAATTACCATTTACATACGTTTATAATAATAAATGATAAAAATAATGCATGTTTATTTATTTTATCTATAAATTGGTGTTAGCATTAAATATTTTCTCCAACAAACTCTTGTTAGTTTTCTTTGCAAAAAGGTAAATGACTAAAATGCGATTACCTTATTATTATCTTCCAAATTAATATCCGCGCCATTTTCTACCAACTTTATTGTGCATTCTAGCATTCCATTTTCGGCTGCATAACTTAATGGTGTTCTGCCATTTTTGTCTCTTAAAAATATACTTAAGTTGTTCTAAACTGTTAAATGGAATATCATGCATAAATATCACATACATTATATAAGCAGTTGTATATATACGAGATTTATTATTACCCTATATAGCGAATAATTACAAAAAAAATGTGTATCTCTTAAAAGCATGGTTACCCAAAAACAACTGTATTTGGTGCTGTTCCGTTATGCTTGCCAATAAGTCTTGTGGCTTGAAAATGAAAATTGTTATTTACAATCTTTACTGCTGGTCATAAAATTCATATATGTAAGCACTTTATGTAATATTGATAATCAACCTGCAAAAATATGTTATATTTCCGATCTAAAACGACTTTTTTGTTATGTTGGTGGTACTTTTAGTTCGTTCTATTTGGTTTTTCTACCTAAATTGTTTAAGTATACATTAACTTGACAATTTATCTGTGATACGAAGGCTTTATACATGTAACCTCCTATTCTAAAATCACATTTTATTTAGTTCTGCTCATTGTGTACAAGCATACCGGTTTTTTTATGGAATGTCACTAATCTGTCGCATTAAAGGTTCCATGATAACCGCCTGAATACGTGGATGTTTCTAAATTCAAGCACTTCACCATTACATGTTTAAATGTTGAATACTGCTTTAGCTGCTTGAATGAGGGTGGGGACATGAACAGTAGCGTGAACTTTCATGTCCATGAACAGGCTTAATCACACCCGTTCTGCAACATCTGCAATTTCGGGATTTCTTCAGTGATTCTTATAATTTATTATTATTTTGACATATTATCATGCTTCCAATTTGTCAATTCATATATAATATTATATGCCGCATTTGTGTGGTCTATCTAACACAGAGAGAATGTTAAAATTTGATAAAAATCATTTACAATATTTTTAGATATACACGTACAACTATGTGAAAATTTTGTTTGCGTAATGCTGAAAACGCCCTAATCCCATAAAATTGAATAATGAATAACGCTAATAGATTATACCCCTGTTCACACATTATTTTTACGCATTATTAATACCTATGTTACTATATATAGTAACAGAAACTAGGGTATTTCATGGCCATTATGGCAATATCTAGGTCATTATGCAATTTTGGCCGCATTGCTACTCGGCATTAATTTTCCATAATGGGCGAATAAATGTGCGCACGTGCAGAATGACGTCATCAACTCACAGTGCCTTTCAAGATGGCTGCTGACGTTGAATGAACTGTAGTCACTTGCACACACATTTTTTTTTAAGTTTAAATGACATAATCACAATCAGCAAAGCTTATCATTGAAGATTTATAAACTCAAGACAATACATGACTCTCATAAATTCCAAACATGATATTAGATTGACTATAAGAAAAGGTCGGATCGTTCGCATTTAGACCTAGACAGTCTCATAAACCGTTCTTGAAGGCACAAAACTTCCAAACAAACTGGCACTAACGTTACTTGTTATCTCGAGATTCAAAATGTATTTCTCACAAAAATGTTGAAGGGTAGAATTCTGTATTTATCGATAAAAACAACAATAAAACAACATTTTCTTATATTTAATTGTGTTGTCTTGTTTTCTAAGTTAATCTGTACAATATGACAAATATTTGTTACATTGACAACTGTCCGTTTCTTAGAAAGGGCGACAACCAAGATGAGCGGCGATGTCTAAACGCCGTATTTCGGACATAGGTATTAAAGACGTTAATACTTGGTTGCTGCTCGCCATTATGCGATAATGACCCTCGAGTTCACAATGTCCTTCGGGCCTGCGGCCCTCAGGCCATTATGGACATCTTCGGGCCACTATCGCATAATAGCGAGCAGCAACAAAGTATTAACCTCTAAATGATATTTAATAATGAATATATTTCTATATGTTCTCTTAATGTACGTGGGTAAGGTAATTACACAAAATGACAGCAGATATTTCAGAAGTGAAAAATACAAGTAATATATAATCTGTTTATTGCAAGAAACATATTCAACGGTTGATAAAATTGATACATGGAAATATGAATGGAAAGGAAAAGCTTACTTTAGCGGCAATAAAAGTAATAAAACAGGTGTGGCAATACCATTTTGATGAAAGTTTTTTTTAACAATTACATTGATTACAATGAAATTATGAAATTAAATTAAACATAACTCATTATGTAAAATAAATAAATCATAATTTACAAAACACTTGACAGTACCAATAATTTCATGAATACGAAAAGATGGAAAAGATACATTATTGTTATCAAATGTCAATGTCACATTGAAGGTCACATGACCTTGTAGGTAAAAACGGTTTCCGACCAATACCCCAACAACTGAAGTTGCCTTGATTGATATTTTAAATTAAACTAAAATGCTTTTAGTAAACACATTTAAAGGTCGTATGTAATAAATCAAATTGGGTGTTATTAAAGAGGCATACATGATTCATAAAGTCTATGCATACATTATTTGATCACTTTGTCACACAACCTTTACGGTCACAGATACCTTGTGACTATTCATGACCAGTAGATAACCTCTATTGACTCTTTGGTCACAGGGTCAAAAGTCAGTCATAATAACCTGACCACATAACAAATAAGCTGCCGATAGGGGACATACATGTTAACAAACATATCCTGTTTTATTATATTTAGTCAAAGTAATGTATATGCTCATATCGATAGTTATATGCTTAAATGAAATAAAACTTTTGAAAAAAAAAGAGTTTTATATATTTAGCTGCAACATAGAGTTTAATACTTGGTTGCTGCTCGCCATTATGTTATAATGGCCCAAATATATGCATAATGGCCAGTCGCTCTTTATATTGTTAAATTATCAATTTGTAATTGACTACAGCTCATTCAGTCAACGACAGCATCCATCTTGAAAGTCACTGAGAGTTGATAACGTCATTTTGCACGTGCGCTCATTCACTCGCCCATTATGGAAAAAATGCCGAGTAGCAAGGTGGTCAAAATGCATAATTATCTAATTAAATCTTGCGATAATGGCCTTGAAATACCTTATTTTTTGTTACTATATATATAGTAACGTAGGTATTAAGTTCTTATGAACTTTGCCTTGACCTTTACCACGTTCTTTAAGAGGGAAATTCCAGAACAAAAAAGTGAAAGATAATGGGTTTACATAAAGAACCGCGAAAAATGCAAAATTACAGATGCTACAGACTCGGTTTGATAGAACACGACCATTGATGTTAGTGCAAGCTACACATAGCACCGATTAAGTAGAACTTGTCTTCATGAGATCATGGGCTCAAAGGATTCAAACTCATAGGGCTCAAACATGCAAAATTAGAAGCAACTTATCGATGAAGCTAAAAATACTGTCCATGTTGTAAACTCATGTTGTTGAAGATGTACATCATTTTATTATTATATGAACCTGTTACAACCTCATTCGTAAGAGGTATATATTAAATACTTGAATGCTCAAACATCGCTGTTCAATTCAAATCAATTTCGTCAAATTTCAGATAAAGTTACAAAAGTATACAAAACAATCTGGCTTTTAGTAATGCTCTTATTTAAAACTTAAAACATATTATGTAATCCTAGTTGAAGACATAGTATTTCATTTACTTGAATCAATATCTTATTGTCTTCATGTCTCATGATCACATGATATTGGTTTTGATATTCTTTTCCATGACTATCTACATGTTCATGCCTATCAACTTGTATATGCTAGTCCGATATATGACTTGGGATCATTATGTTGTTTTGCGTCGTGGAGTGCTGTACGTTTTGATTTGTCTTTCATATACATCAGCTTCGGTGCCTTCGCAATCAAACATTCTACGTTTCTTTGTAATAAAAAAATTACATAAAGTCGCTAAATACAACAATTGACTTTTTTATATGAAAACAACCCACCAACTTAATACTTTTATGCAAATAAAAGTGATATAAAATATAAATTGACGTAATGGTTTTGTTTATTTTGTTTAATCAAAACACGCCATAATACACAAAAGATTAGAAATGCTATAACTTGTTAAGTGCTTGTGAAAAAAAACACGTTAAGGATTATAAAAGCGAAAAAAAGATAAACAACAAAAACAAGCACTTGGTTGAAAAGTGATGAAAAGTAACAGTTACCTTATTCTTCCTTTTGCAGCTGCAAGATGCAATGCTGTCTTTCCATTTTCACATTTTGTACATAAATCAAATATTTTCGTCTTTATCAAAATCTAAAAAAAACATCATTTCTAATAGCATATCGTACCTTGTCACAATACTAAAAAATATATCATTTTTCTGGCTCAATCAAGATTTTTTGATAAATACTCAAATATTATTACATGTATCTGTTTTAACTTTTCATTAATTATACCTCTTTACAAATTGGTTATCAACTGACCGCTACCGTAGAAATCCAGTGTGATTCATTTCTTCAATCAATCTTCAATCTTTTTTCTTATATATTCATAACAATGCTTTTGTTTGATAAGAAAATGGTGGGTATTAAATTTCTTTTGTTTTTTACATCTTTTCACAAATCTTTTAAACAATATTTTTTTCATACTTTAATATTTAAAAAAACGTTAAGATTTAAGCCATTTTAACCATCGTGTATAATCTAAAAATGAATCAATAGGTTTGTTTATCAATTCAATTTGTTTCATATATTGTTCCGGACTCCTTTTAATTTTCAAAACTGTATATCATATAACAAAATTTTCTCAGCAAAATAAAACGAAAACCATACAATGTAAAATGTTTTATTGTGTTTCTTTTTTAATATTCCATATTTTACCATGCCCCCTTTTTACATCACATTGATATTGTCCTAGAAAAAAGGAATTAGATGATTTTTTTATAATAATGTTTTAAATCTTTAATGAGGATTTTAATCACAATTATTGTTTTTTTGATACAGATTTTTTTAATGTTCTAAATAAATGAAGGTACATTAAACCTTTACCTACATTTCTTCTTGTTTTTAAGTCCTTTTTATCCTGTGGTTGTAATTTTATCATTTTATTTACCTTTTATTTCTGGTAAATTATTAACATAGCTGTAAATGTTATTTGCTGTAAAGTATGTCCACATAAGTTATGTGTTCTTTTGAATCGTTCAATAACAACGGCCTTACGTTCATTTAATGATTGATGCACATTAATCTTATTTTATAAAAGTTCTAGAAAAGGTAAAGTATAAATTTTGTTTCCTTCGTCCGCACCTTATTTCTGAGGAATTCTATCCTCACAAATAAGTTCATGAAAGTTTTTTTTTATTATTTAAAGAAACTGACCAAAAATATTTGCCTTATAGATCATAAAACAGTCAATAATTATTTAACATATGTAGTATCCTTAGAAAGGTTTTGAGTATCAACTGGATAAGCAGACCATGTGTCTACAACGGCATTACTATTACACGTCTTAGGCCGTCTTAAATCAGTTTGACTTTCTGTAAAATTTAAAGAAAGAACTAAATATCAGTAGAAATTTCATTGGTCAATTCAAAGATTTAAACTGAAATCTGGGAATCTTATTGCCCATTCCTTAATAAGTAAAATAATGCAAAGGAGCTCTCTGAAATAGTATACGCGTCTAATCATTAACCGAAAGGAGTTCTGAATACGAACACTCAGAGTTTTAGGTTCTTTCACTTCCAAGTTATGTTACTCAGGTATTTAAGTTCTGTCAAACCATGTCCACATCCAAAAACAATGTAACACTGCTTTTTAATGTCATTTTTCAATATAGATTTGACCAAAATAACGAGACTAGCAGAAACGTTCACAATCCCATAAACTCATGCTTATGAAAATACCGGAAAACACATAAAACGAATTTATCAGTACTCTCAGCTACTTATATCAAATAATTTATTGTTCAATCGAAAAGTAAAATCAGTGTTCAATCGGTAGAATTTTAATATGTATAAATTTGGATATTCATGAATTATATATAAGACTGCCTACGATTAAATGGTTTAGCATTGACAAAATGCACTCATTTATAAACCTTCTTTTAAAAAATTTATTTGATTAAAGTTTATTTACTGGAGTACCTCTCTTTGAATATTGAATGATATTCAAAATTATACATATTGTTAAATATTCTTTGGTAAAATGATATACATAAGAGTAAATTGAATTGAAACGGCAATTTCTAGTATGGATTATATAATAAGTCAGTGTATATAATTATGTTTAGTACGTACTGGCGTCTTGCGCGTCTTTGTTCTTTGCTTAATATATTTAAAATAAGAATTGTACGTGTCAGATTATGGATTTTGGATTCCTAAATATGGGTTTACAAATAATCATATTTTTGATAATTATCATTCTAAATTATATATAACTTTTAAGAGTTAAAATTCATCTCGTATCTAAACTTAAAACGCAACAACAAAAATATATCATATCAAAACACCATGGAGATACATGCATCCATGACAAACATCTGATCTGACTCATGTAAACATTGGTCGAACAGTAATTGATTCGTGTGATTCAGACCTTTATCTAATCAAACAATTTCACCTTTTATATGTTGTTGTCGGAAAATCGGTTCTACGTCGTTAAGGAGATATATTGTTAACAGGTAAAAAGGTTTTGCATCAAAAAAATTTTTAACACATATAACTGGCCTATTTTGTCAGATTTACAGTACATAATAGTGCCCATTAGAGGGGCTTGCCTTAGATACATTTTCAAAAACCATTTGATCCGATTGTAGGAGTACCATGAATTCAATGAATAAAATGACGGAAATTTAAACAAGAAAGAACAACAGTTACGGAGTGCAGTCCCTTAAATAACCAAGCCACGCAGTTCCTATGGAAAGTGTCCAGCATTGCACCATTCCCGCATTGCACCATTTTAGTCTGGGTAGATACCATTAAGTAAGAGTATTCTTTAAATGTTAACACAGTTTATATCTATTATTGACGTGTTGATAAAACTATAACTTTATTCATAAACGATATAAAACAGGAAAACTTACATCCAAACATTCGAAGTACCCCTTTTCCGCAGCTACAAGAAGGGGTTCTTTTGGGGGCTCTTTTTGATGTTTCGTTTCTTTAGACGTATCACCGGTAGTCTGTAAAAAATAAATATAAGCATAAAGGTAATATGCATTTAGAGACAAAATTCCAATATCAAATATTACATGTAAATATTAGAATCAAGCATTGCTACACTCACTCCTTATTTTTATTATTATATTAAAACTAAGCTTTTACGCTCATTGTTTTGTGAAATTAAACAAGGGAGTATTATTACTTTAATGTAAGTCGGGTAAATATATAAATACACCTGTATCTATCAAGAAAATCATTTTTAAGACAAATAAGTTTTCTATAAATGATCGAATGCAACATACCCCTTTTGATGCAATATGACAAAAATATATCAAAACCGGCCACGGATCATAACAGTTATTAATTTTATTGGTCGTTTGTTCATCAATCAGTTCATATCTCGTTATAGCTTTAATTTTAATACCATAGCTTACAGCGTTACAATATTGATCGAAAAGCAGTCAAAGACCTCAGTTTTCATCGAACAGGAGAAACGTTATTAAAGGAGAATAGTCAATTAGTATTTTAAAGCATAAACATTTTTAAATACACACTAAGTGCAAAAATTTACAAAGTCGGGATGGGAGAGCTATTCTCAAATGATTAACAAGAGCACCGCATAGGCGTGGCAATATTCGCCGGGATGCAAATTTATTTAAAATAATCAAAAAGTTATTTAAAAAAAGGTGACCAAATTATTTCATTTGTCACAACATGTTTATTTCAATTTTTGATATTAAAATCTGTATTGATACATGCAAAAGAACTACGCTCTTGGCACATGAATACTAATAAAGATTATGTATGCTACAGTTTACGCTGTCGAGTCCACATCAGACATGTCACCAGTCATGCCCATAAAGGGCAAAGTGGTGATAATTTACCTTCATGCTATTGTCACTGAATACATATGCTGACTGAAAACAACAATAATGTTGGGTTCTAAATAATAAAATGTTTTAAGAAACTTACAATTGGTATATATAAAACCAGAAATTCAAAATCACAAAATATTAAGCCTAAAATAATTAAAACAAAACAACAAAATACCTCTCTTTGAATTGAAAACACCAATACTCATACATACATCCATCTAATTGGTACAAAACTGATAATTCAACTTGTATAAAGTGAACAAAGCGATGATACATGGTAAATATCTATACTCTGCACGTTTTTAGTGGGAGGAAAAAACCTTGGAAACATGTATACTTTTTAAATATGTGTACAAGTACATTGTGCAAAACCTACATTCACCCTAACAACTCACTGGGTATAGACATATATATATAAATATTAGTGTATAACTTTATTTTAGAATACATAGTTACATGAAAATAAGTTTTCATATCTATGTGACTCCTGGGACAGGGCCAATATAGACCAAATGACTATGATTTATATAACTTTTGTAAGGTGTCAACAATACAATGATTCATGCAGAATCTAAGCTTAAACATATATTATTTTTTGGCATATGAAAATGTGTTCTTATTACCTCCCTCCATTCAACGCTTATAACATTCAGCCATCAAAAAAATGCAGTGATGTCAAGGGATAATCTTTCTGCAATTTATCATACTGGTAGTTTTTCCTTGAACATATATTTTGTTTAAGGGTATAATACAACAGGTATACAGCAACTTTATATTAGCCCTTCAACCCATATCAGTCTGTAAATAAGTGAAAGACTTCCCACAGTAAGGCCAAACAGAGGTTACAATGTAAATCAACAGCTGCCCGTACACAAAACATCTTCATCTATGTCCTTAGTTTTCATAAATTGTTTGATCAGGTTTTACGTCGCACCGACACATTAGCGGTCAAATGGCGACTTTCCAGCTTTAATGGTGGATGGAGACCTAAGGTGACCTACCGTGCATTATTTCAGGCTCGAACGGGCACTTGAGTAGAACCACTGAGGTTACGTAAGCTAGTTTGATACCCTCCTCACATGAAAGAATCCAAAGTCGCTGTTGAGATTCGAACAGACAGCGGTGAGGGGCAAGTGGTTTGAGTTCAACGACTTTAACCACTGGGCCTCGGATGCACCTTATTGACATTTTATATATTTCATTTACAACTTATTGTTATTTAGCTCATTTACATATTTTAAGTAGCATCACGTTTAATTGATAAATAAGACCGACTTCGATTACATTTCAAATTAATTATTCACATTAACATAACATCTTTAATATTTAAAAAAAAAATATATAGAAATATAAAGTTCTAGAAAAACAAGAAGGCCAAGATGGCCAAAGATCGCCTACCTGGCCCATCGAACTCATCCGAGCAATTACATAGACAAACATCCTTGCAAAGTTTCATGAAAGTTGAGTAAAAAATGTGACATATAGCCTTTAAGCTCCTTTGACCTAGTTTTTCATCCGCAATGACCCATGTTCGAACTGATCCGAGCAATTACCTAGACAAGCATCCTGACCAAGTTTAATGACAATTAAGTTTAAAATGTGGCCACCAGAATTTTCACATGGTTTTTCCATATTTTGGCGCTGTGAACTAGTTAGAACAAAAATCAGAAGTGAATGCGTTGCTTCAAGAATTTGAGGATATTTTTACTGATATTCCCGGAACTACGGATCTTGAATCTCACAAGATTGAGTTGACTGACAAAACACCAATTCGTGTAAGACAGTACGATACCATATGCCAAAAAGGACAGCGGTAGAGGATGAAATTAAGAAAATGCTTGAATGTGGTATCATTGAACCAGCAAATTCTGATTATAATTCTCCAATTGTTTTGGTGATAAAAAAGGATAATACAAACCGCATTTGTATTGACTTCAGACGACTGAAATCTGTAACAAAGTTTGATACAGAACCAATGGGTAATGTTGTAATGTTGAGTATGTGATGGCAAAGCTAAAAAACGATAAGTTCTTCACAAAAATTGATTTGACCAAAGGTTTTTGGCAAATACCAATTGAAGCAAAATCAAGACATCTAACAGCATTTTCTACAACAGAAGGTAGTTACCAATTCAGAAAGATGCCATTTGGAATGGTCAATTCTGGTGCAACATTAATAGAATGATGCGGCAGTTGCTTGCTTTCCGGAGTGAATGATATTGATAACTATGTTGACGATGTGCTTGGACATACGGTTACATGGGAGAGACATATTAAAATGTTGAGACAGTTGTTCGACAGAATACGAGAAGCAAAGATCACAGTTAAACCTTCTAAATGTATGATTGGATTTGAAGGTATACCATTTACCGGTCATGTTGTTGGCAAAGGACAAATGCAAATGGAAGATGACAAATTGATGAAAATTAGAGACGCTGTGCGAGCAGAGTCAAAGAAGCAAGTGAGATCATTTCTTGGACTGCTGGATACTACCGAAAATTCATTGCTTCATTTGCAGAAATTGCTTCACCATTGACAGATCTTACGAAGAAAGGACAGCCAAATAAAATCATATGGAAACAAGAACATGAAAAAGCCTTTACGACATTGAAGCAAGTACTGACACGATCACCAATACTACGACTTCCAGACTTTTCAAAGTCATTTGTTTTGCAATGTGATGCTTCAGATACCGGAGTTAGGGCTGCGCTTCTTCAAGAGTTTGATGATGGTCTGCTTCCAATAGCTTACGCGAGTAAGAAATTGCTCAATAGAGAAAGAAACTACTCGGTTATCGAAAGGGAGTGTCTTGCAATGGTATTTGGAATAAAGAAATTCAACAAATATTTGTACGGGAAAGAATTTGAGCTGCATACAGACCATGCTCCTTTAACATATATTCAGAAGTGTAAAGTTGACAGTGGCCGCATTATGAGATGGGCATTATTTCTACAGAACTATACGTTTAGAATAGTAGCTGTGAAAGGAAATGACAACGTATGTGCAGATTACCTAAGTAGACTCGATACCTGAAAAGAGACATTGTAGATTATTCATTTTGTTTGAAAACCGTGGAGTGTTTTCTTGAGTAGGGGGCTGTGAGAATAATCATACAATTTCACTGTAGATAGTTTTTATTTTATAACGAGTCAGCGATACTTTGTAGTGTATCAGATTTCAATGTACAGTTTCATTTATAAACCTGTTGCTGGGGGTATAAAATCTATCAACATGTAAAGGTCAGATCGTTTAAACTAGCAATTATGCGGGTTTTGAGAGAGATTTTACATCAGTTTAGGAGTGACACGCTAATAGTGTGTAGCGTTTGTTTTTTTTGTTGTTGTTGAGAAGAGAATTTGTTGTTTTGTTGGTTTGTTGAAGTTGGTTGAATATAATTGTGGTGATCTTAATTGATCAGGGTTTCTTGGTTGTAATTAGTTTTTACAGTTATTGAGTTATATCTGTTTGTGAAGATATAATTGGTTGACATTGGTTGAATGTTTGTCTGGTCAAGATTATATTAGTTGATGCTTTGTTTTGAGGATATATGTAAATATTGGGTGCTTTAGTTTGCTTTTCTGATGCTGATTAGATTGTGTGAAGTTAATATTGTTGGATGAATGTTTGTGGTTTATACTGTATCTTAGAGTTGTAAAAATAGTCATTTCTGTGTTCTTCATTTTGTGGTGATTTTATTGTTTTGTTTGATCATAAGTTGTTTAGAGCTTGGGCTCGCCAGGTGTCTAGTATTGTTTCGTATAAAAGACGTATACGTGAAAAGATATTTCGTATAAGTGGCTGATAAATGACGTGTGTTTGTTTTGGGTGTAAATAATGATCAAAGTTCTTTGTTTTGGGTGTAAATAATAATCAGAGTTTGTTGTTTACATGTATATATTGATTTGAGATAGAAAAGGATAAAAATACCTAAAAAAAAAGTGTTTACTAAACAATTACACGCTAGTTTTCCAACTGAGAATATTTCACTTTTATGTCAGGCGGTGCTGCCAAGCCCCCATATCTTGGAAATTGGTTCTAGTTTTTATTACTAAATCTTTCCTTAGATTAAATAACATCAAGGCAGTCATTTCTCCTGACACGGACGTACAACCAGGAGCATAACAATATACGCCGAAATCCGAAATT